AAGGTGAAACCCGAGGCACTAGTGGCTCCCCCTGAAGGGTGCTGGTGCCTAACACAGGGATGAGCCTCGTGGGCTTTGTAAAGATGGATAAGCTTTTAAAGATTATGTACAATTTCAGTTTTCTTTTTTGTAATTCTTTGCTTTTCCCAAAAGTTCTCCATTATTTTTAAATCAAAAAAATTCACCTTACATACAAAAAAAGTAAAGAGTAGGTAAAAAACACTTCTTTTGTGTGTTTCATTTTGTTTTTGTTCCTGCCCTCTTCTTCCTTTCCCTTCTCTGGTCTATCTGAAGTTCTCTCAACCTGTTCCTTTATCTTAGATTAGGTTCCTAAATTGCCCCAGCTGGGCTTGAACTCACAATCCTCCCGCCTCAGCCTCCCAGAGTGCTGGGATTACAGACAGGTGTGTACCTCCACACCCACCTCTGAAATTCTTTTTCTGTGATGAGGGTCAAGAACCTACTGGATAAGCCGGGTTGAGGTCCTTGTCTCTTTTTTTAGACACCTTCAACGCCTCTGGTGACATTACCACCCACATTTATCAGGTAGGAAATGGGCAGGGCCAGGGTGAACTCTTACTCAAGATTCCACAGCCCCAGGGCAAAGGCTGAGCCAGTCTGGGGACCCCGTGCCTTACGCTCTGTGCTCCTCCCTCTTCTGACTCTCTCGGCCCCTTCCTGTACTCCTATTCCCAGGCCCCTCAAAGGGAATGTTTTCCTTTTATTTCTGTTGTGCCACCCACTCTCTCTTGTTTCCACGAAGCCAAGGTATTTGCCATATGAAGACCAGATGGGCTCAGCGTGTTCTGCATGTTTTTCTTCTGCATTTCCAGAGAGGAACTGTGTGCCCATGTCAGCTTCGGAGAGAATGTCTCTTCTTCCACTGGCCGCTAGAGGAATTCTGGGAAGTGGCTGTCATCCGAATCCCACACAAAGATCCAGAACATGTCCTCGAGGGCCATGCAGACACCAGCTCCACCCCTGGCAGCTTGCCAAGGGCTGGTCCCCCAACCCCTGCACCAGCAGCTGTCCCCGTGTGGCTGCTGGATGCGGTGGTTCCATGCGGTGTGCCTGTAACTACCAAAACAAAGACCTCATCTCTCTTCCTTCACCAGGTACACCCCAAGTGACCTTGGCCCATCACCAGATGGGGTCCAAGGAGATGAGGACTTCAATTCAGCCTGGGAAGCTTCTTGACATCATCATAGAAAAGGATAGGCATAGGCTGATTTATTAGGCAGAGTTAGAAAGGAAGAGAAAATAGGAAGGATATTTCAGTTTAAGTAGCTGGAGGAGGGCCAGACTGGTCCCTTGACAGAGGGAGACCAGCTTTGTTTGGTGGACTTGCTGGGTCTGGTTGATTATGATCTCACTTCTAGGTTCATCTCTGCTAGCATGGGCCTTGGCTGAGTGATGGTGGAATTAAAATGGAGGCAATCAGCACAAATTTAAAGGAAAAAGCCTTCACCAGAAAGTAAGAGAAAATAGAGAACACAACTCTCACAAAGATTAAAGTGGTCGCCATAGAAAGAGAAGCTAAGAAAAGACAGAAAAAGGGCTTCCGTTTGAAAAACTGAAGGGAGCACAAGTCTGACGAGGTGGACCAGGCTAATGTTTCCACAAAAGCGCAGTTTTAGGGGGCACTGTGGGCTGGGGTCTGGCGGATCATGATCTCCACGCTGGTTCAGCAGCTCCAGAGGAGGCCTACTTGATGGGCAATTCGGTTCCCATGACCTTGTGGAGCTGTCAGTGAGGCTCTGCTTTTCCTGGAGCCCTGGCAATCCCAGGTTTAGAACAATGGCTGGGGATTCTAGATGCTGCTCCAGAGAGGGGGTGTGGAAGTAGATGTTGTGAAAGTTGGTAATCAGATGTCTCTGTTAAACCTGAAAATTGTTCTATTTAATTTTTCTTTCATTTAGATTATTTTTATTAGTGCACCTTTGCAGTAATAATGATCCATTCATCATGGGTGTTGGTTCACACAGCTTCTTTTCCATCCCTTTCTGCTCCTTCTTTCTATGTATTTTTTTCTTGCTACTGAGAATTGAATCCAGGGCTGGGGATTTAGCTCAGTGGTTCCACCACCTGCCTCGCAAGCATAAGGTCCTGAGTTCAAGTCCTGGTACCAAAAAAAAAAAGAATTGAACCCCAGGTCTTTGTATAAAGTTACTTCCTCAGCTCTTTCTCAAGACAGGGTCTTGCTAAATCACTAAGTTGCCCCACACTAGGCTCGAACTTGTGACCCTCAGCCTCCCAGAGTGCTGGGAATTACAAGTGTGTACCACCATGCCTGGCTTGTATTGCCAGCCTTCTATAATGATTGCTAACTGATTAACATGCTTACATGCAGAGCTGAGCAGAGATGTGAACCAATAAGAGAGAGAGAAAAATGAAGACATGATTTGTTCTGCTCTTAGTTACCCATGGGCGGTGTGCACCTACAGACCCACTTGAAGTGTTATTTTGATTTTCTTATTTTTTAGCAAAGCAGCTTTGCAAGTCCCTCAGAAGAAAACGCAACATGCTCTGACTGACTCCAGGTTATGGGCTCAAGAGTTTGTCCTCTGTCCTTATGGTCTCTGTCTGAAATCAAATAGCATCAGATCAGGGCTCGTTGATGTGACCTCCAGGGAGGCCAGAGGCCCCCGAAAGACTCGAACAGGAGTCCCTGTGCTCCTTGACAAGCTGGTGTTTCTCTCAGATTTCTAGATTTTCTATCAAAATCTTGAAATCCAGAGTTTAAGCCTGAATGGGTTGTGGGTCTATTATTCAGCCTGGATTAGCTTTCCATGCAAAGACTAGCTCAGCAAAGCATTAGCACATGACTGCGAGGTGATGTCTACAGCATGTCAGTGTGGTCTCTACCAGTGGCCATGTTACAAAATATCTCATAGATTTGTTTCTTTCTTTTTTTCTTATCGTGGTGGTACTGGAAATTTAACCCAGGACCTTCACACTGAGCTATGCTCCCAGCCCTTTTTATTTTGAGACAAGATCTTGTTAAGTCTCTAAATTGTCCAGGCATGAATTTTCAATCCTCCTGCCTCAGCCTCCCAGAATTCACTGTTCACAGGCATGAACCACCATGCCCAGCTTCTTTCTGCCATTTAACACATATTGTTTTTTCCACAGAATCTCTTTTTTTCTCTTTATTTCCAAGTAATACTATCCAATTCCTTCCAAATTCTATGTCAATGGTTCTCAATCTGGTATTCTAGGATATGTATGCATTCCCCAGGACATTAGGGAGCTCTTTGATAGGTTTTCAGTATTTCCTACAGACTATACTTTTAGGACATGGTTGTACTTTTATTTATTTTTTTGAGACAGGGTCTTGCTATGTAGTTCAGGCTGGCCTTGAACTCACTATGTAACCCAGGCCAACCTCAAACTTGTGGCATTCTTCCTGCCTCAGCCTCCAGTGTGCTAGGATGATAGACATGTGCCACCACCATACCTGGTGTAAGGTTGTACTTACTAACTAAATAATATCTTCATCTCCAAGTAGCAGTTCGGATTAGCACTCTTAACCTGAAATACATGGAAATGTAAGTAATTTGTTGCATGTTAAAATAATTATTTAGAAGGTAGAATCTTTTGCTACCTGGAATTCACTTGGGAAATGACACCAGGACACCGGTGAGAGCACAGGCCCCCAGAGCCGAACTGTCAGCGTGCACGGTCCCTTCGAAGGTTCTCAACATCACTGCAATGTGAAAATGTCTTTTGCAGTCGATATGCAAACCTGTGATTAGGGAGCGAGGAGAAGCCCATTTTGTATTCAAATGTGCCTGGTGTCTGGTGGCCCCTGAGGCCTCAGATGATCCTGGGTCTCTAAGCCTGGAGAAGAACTGTCACCTTGCCTTAGATCAAACCCGGTTATCGAGGAGACTGGCTGTCCAGGGGATTCCCAGAGTCCTGTCTTCCAGACAGAAACTTGTTAGCACTGCAGTGAAGGTGTCTCGCACCCTGCTGGCTGTACCTGCAGGGGTGGCTTCGGTCAAGGTGGTGGTGGCTGCAGTTAAGAACTGTGCAGCCTTGAGGGGAATTAACTTTGCATCGGCTCAACCCCAAGGCCCAGGCATGGACTCCTACCTGCGGGCTGGAAGATGTTATGGGGCACACAGACGTTCTGAGAGGGGAGTGGCAGTAAGTGTCCCAGAAGAGGTGTCCCAGGGAAGGAGGAGGGTTTGCAGGGGCAGAAGGTGTCTGCTCTGGCTTTGTGCTGAAGGCGTTTCAGAGGTACCAGAGATGAGCTTCTGGAGGTGTCCTTCATGAACCCTTCCCCTCTACTCCTCTGCCCAGGCCCGCACTCAGATTTCCTAACTCTTCCTCCTGCCCGGGTCACCTGTCTCGGATCACCCTGTTTTCTGCCGCCACAGCAGCGTTCGTTCTCAAAAAAGGCGTCTCCCGGGGGCCCTGGGCAGAAAGGCAGACTCCTAGGTGCCAGTCCAGATACCCTGAACTTGCAACTCTTGCAATTTCACAGATACGAATTCCGAGTTGGAAGCTTGGGTGCTGACACCCCAAAACTCCGGGGCAAAAGCAGAAGATGCTAATGATCTAGGTTACTTTCGAAGCTCCAGCCTGGGAGGGACGGGCACGGGTTCCGACTCGTCCCGCAGTCACGAGGTGTCGCGTTGACCTCTCCGGGGGTTTCGCTCTGGCTCGCGAGTGAAGTCACACGACTCACTGCCTCCTCCTCCCAGTGGGTAGGCTGGGGGTCTGCCGACCGGCCACAGGGCTGGCCTCGGGGTGGCGGCTGGGCTTCTTAGTTGTACAATCCGGCTATGAGGCCCTCCGGGGTTCACTCCCTCGGAGGGCCCAGCTGGGGCGTCGGCCCCGTCACGTGATCAAGCTGCCCTGGGTCAGGTGACCGTGGCCGGGCTTACTTAGCCGCAGACGCGGAAGGACAGCCCGGAGCAGCCAGGCGCAGTCCGGTGAGCGTCAGGGAGCGTGCAAGGCGCGTGGACATGCGGGCCTCGCAGCTCCCAGGGCCGCCACCGCTGCTGCTGTTGCTGCTCCTGCGCCCCGACTTTACCCCAGCCGTGAGCGCCGCGCCCTTTGAGCCCACCTGGGAGTCGCTGGACGCGCGTCCGCTCCCCGAGTGGTTCGACCAGGCCAAGTTCGGCATCTTCATCCACTGGGGCGTCTTTTCCGTGCCCAGCTTCGGCAGCGAATGGTTTTGGTGAGCGCTGTGGCCCGAGTCTCCTCGCACCCCGCCCTGGGTCCCCTCCGTACCCGCAGCCCCCGGACCCTGCCCGGGTCCCCTCCCTCCCTCCGGTTTCATCAGCGCTTTGCGTTTCTGGTGCTGGGGATGGAGCGCTGGAGGGCCGTTTGGTGTTGGGTTTCTTCTCTGTGACTGGAGTGTGTCCCAACACAAGGTTGCACGGGCTCTCAGCCCCTTGGGCGCTGACAGCGAGGTCGGTCCGCGTGGCGTCGGCCCTCTGCCCTCGGCTGCTCCGCTGCTGCCTGCTGCCTGCGGCCTTTAGGCCGCGCAGGCGGGCGAGAGCACATCCGGGTGTGAAGCTGCTGTGTATTTGCGCACACGTTGGTGGGGTTTTGTTCTGACTTTTTTGAAACAGGGTTTCCTTAGGGTGCCCGGGCTGAAACCTCTGGGTCTCTCACTCCGGGACCCAGGGTCCCCTTGAGTAGCTGGGACTGCAGGCGGGGCCGCCTCAGTGTTTACACGCTGGTGATTTATGTCAGTGTTAGCGTGCGTGCCTCCAAGAATTTTTAAAAAGGGTTTTAAAATTTTAAGTTTTTTTTCTTTTGGAGACAGGGCCTGTGGAGTTCAGGGTGCCCTCAAACTCAGTGATCCCCTGCCTCAGTCTCCGTAGTGTCCGGGTTACAGGCCACCTAAAGGGCGTTTTTAACGGGTTTGAAAAGGGTGTGAATAATGCACTTTAGGTTTTGTCTTGAGTTTTTTGTAAAAAAAAAAAAAAAAAAAGTATGTAATCTCTTGAATGGTTGTGCATACCTTTCCTGATTGATTGCTTCAAGTCTGAAGTTTTTCAAGATAGAGATGTTATCATCTAGGTATATCTGTACATGTAGGTGAATATGTGTGTGTATGTATCTGTGCTCAGGTTTCTGTCAGCTTCTCTTTTGTAGGTCAGTTTTTAAAAAAATTACGTTTATTAGTACATGTTTGCTATGCATAATCATTACATTCATGATGGGGAGTGGGTATAGGTACACAACACATCTTAATTCTTTTTTACTTCCTCTGCACTCCCTTTCCTCCGTCTCCCTCCATTCTAGTACCTCTTCCCATCTGTAAAGGATCTATCTCTGTATTTCGTATTATCTATCACTGTAGTTTAATTTCAAAATGTAAAAGTGCAGGCTGGGGCCCTGGTTCAACCTCCAGCATCAAAGGAAAGTTTCCAAGTAGTTGAAGTCAAAGATGCAGGCTCTCTCTTTCTGTGCACCGGACCCTTCTAGTCACATGATTGCAGCCAGGCATTGTAACCCCACCATCGGCCTTGCTCAAAGGCCGGAAGACAGCTTCTGCTGTCTTTAGGAAGGGGCCACTCCCAGCATCTCTCTGGTTGCCCTTCCCTCAAGAGTCACTGGCCAGGATGGCCCCCTTTCTGTGTCGTAGCTGCAAGACACAGGGAAAGGACACGCGTGACTGAAGACCGGCACATGACAGTGGTTGCTGCCAAGTGTGGCCCTTGGTGGTCTTAGCGCCCAGAAGAGCCTCCTGGTCATCTTTGGGGGAGCCTCGCTGACTGTGGATTTGCTTATCATGTGCAAATACGCTGAGGAAAGGAGAGGAGATGGATAAAGTAGAGGTTGGGGCAGAGACAACTCCATGAGGACTGGCGCTGCTGGGCTCTCTGAGGTATTTTAGATGTATTTTGCTTGTGAAGCCTTGCAGAAGCAGTTTAAGCTCACTATTGTGCTCACAGTAAACACAAGTAATTCATGTGTGTGTGTGGTACTAGGGGGTCGAACCCAGGACGTTCACGCTGAGCCACAGGCCCCCCTTCCATTTCTTTTTCTTTTTTTAATGTTGAGGCCGTGTCTCACTAAGTCTCTAAAGCTGGCCTTGAACTTGCCATCCTCCTGCTTCAGCCTCCCAGAGTGCTAGAACAAGTAATCCTGGAAGGCTGATTTATTTATTAAAATAACAGCATCTTCTTAATTTACTGTTGCTTCTCTTTCTGCTTTACCCTCCTCCCAAAGTGTGTTTTCTGCTAGTGACTATAATAAATGCAAATTATGTTTTAGGTACAGCCTCTTCCATTTTGAAGCTTTAGTCACTTCTATTACCAAGTGCCTTGATCTGTAAAGACACATACTATGTGCTGTGATTGAAGAGTGAAGAATTCAGAGAACATGTTGTCTAGAATGTTCTAGTTTATTGCAGAGATTTCCCAAGGAATAGATGGAAAATAAGAGGGGTGTTTTGGTTTATGTAAGATTTACTTAGGGCTAAGTCAAAGTGAAGGGGAAGTGACAGAATCCAAGTAACATTCATGGAGAGGGAGGTATTAGTGGGACCTGGGGCAATTATTGCAGTGGTTTGTCCCCACGGCATTCATGTTGTTTCCTCTCCTCCCACAGGTGGTATTGGCAAAACCAAAAGATACCAAAATATGTGAACTTTATGAAAGATAATTATCCTCCAGATTTTAAATATGAAGATTTTGGACCACTCTTTACAGCAAAATTTTTTAATGTCAGCCAGTGGGCAGATATTTTTCAGGCCTCTGGTGCCAAGTATATTGTCTTGACTTCCAAACATCACGAAGGTAAGTAAGCCCAGCACACACAGACAGATGTGACAGTGGCTAGGAAATGCAAAGAAGACACTAGAGCACTGAAATCGGTTCTCTGTTAGCAGTAACCAGAAGTGGAGACTAGATTTGCTTAGAAATTAAGGGCCACGTGTTCTGCCTGCATTGGGGGGCAATGTAGGGATACAGACAGACTGTATGCTCCACAAAACAAGAGGAAAGGTGGTCACAGTTACTTATATGCACATTTAATAATTTTTCCAAGATTTGCTAAAGCTATTTGAAGTGGGATGGGTGTTGCAGTATAAAATTTACTATTGGAAAGGTACACCTCTCTCTCTGTCTCTCTGTGTCTGTGTCTGTCTGTCTCTGTCTGTCTGTCTGTCTCTCTCTTTCCAGTACTCAGCATTGAACCCAGGGCCTTCACATTGAGCTCCCTCCCCAGCCCTTTTTATTTTTTATTTTGAGACAAGGTCTCCCTAAGTCACTAAATTGCTTGAATTTACAATCCTCCTGCCTCAGCCTCTGAGTATGCTGGGATTACAGAAATGTGCCACCATACCTAGCTTCTTGGCTTCTGTGCTTTATCTTTTTTTTGTTGTTTGTTTTTGTTTTGTTTTTTGAGATAGGGTCTAGCTATGTAGCCAGGGCTGGCCTTGAACTAGTGGCATCCTCCTGCTTCAGCCTCCAAATACTGAGTTCACAGATGTGCACCATCATGCCCAGCTCTTTGCTTTATCTTAATGTATTCTGCAAAAGCACTATGTGAATTATGCTTCTGTAGTTTTGTACCATTGTGTGTGTGTGTGTCTCCTACATGGCTGTTCTGGCTTGTGTCTAGATGTTCCCCCAAAGCCTCATGTGGTCATGGGTAGAGTTTTTCAGAGGTGGCAGGACCTAGAATGTGTGATGCTGGGATTAATTCCTGTTGCGATGCTAGGGTTAAGGCTGTCCCATCCTGAGTGTGAGTGCTACCCATCTGAAGAGTACTCTGAATAGGATTAATGACAATGTGTCTTTTAGTATAATAAATTCTTTAAATTTTTAATTTAAACACTCACTATATTTTTTGATCATACTGTGTATAACGAGTTCTTAGAAAAACACAATCAAATTGTAAGGATCCTCTAGCCCACATCTGTACATTTTCAAGGATACACTTTGTCAGATGTTTTTACTGCCTGTGGAATGTGCATTGCTGGATTGTGAGGAAGACCTCTCGGTGACTTTTGCTGCTGACACTGAGCTCCAGACCCCTGGGGTAAGGGCACTGCTTGACACCAGGGGTTCCTGACAGGCAGGTCAAAGTGAGCATTTTAAAATAAGACCTTAAGTACTGACACTGCTTTGAATGCCACAAACATCTTTGGAGTAAGTGCCAGCTATTTAAAAATCTTATAATGAATCTAATGAGTGAGTCTGTCTTAGACTTGCCCTAATTTATTATGAGTAAAGTGATTAACAAGGCATCTTATTATTGTCAATTTGCAAAGATTCTTTTGTACTTTAGTAGATAAAAACAGAAATTAGCTGAAATTTTGAGGCTTTGATATTATTTCTTAAGTATTTCTGTTTATATATCTCTTCTAACACTTTCATATAGAACGACTACCAATCTAAATGAAAATTTCTGTTACAATGTGAGTTATTTCAAAGCACACATTATGCATTATTTTTCTTACTTAGTTGGTAGATTCTTCACTTTGGGGTAATTTGAAGAACAGCATCTAAACCTGTGACTTTAGCGTAGGATGAGATAATAAATGGTGGGTGTGTTTTAAAGTACAGAACTACTTGGGAGTACTGTGTTTTCCTTTTTGGTTAAATGAATTATCAAGCTAAAGGAGCTTTACTGCACACGATCACTAGTGTTCTGAGATCTCACCAAATAAAAATAGATAATGCTAAAACAAGGCAATCTTCGGTTGAGAAGACGGATGAGAATCTTGCAGGGGTGTCTTAGGATCTTCATTATAAATAGTGGTGGTTACTGTTGGGCTCGGTAGTTGTGGAAGATGTTTCTACCTTAGCAGTGATGTGCTGGTTGCTTATTTGGGGTTAGATCCTGTGCTAGCACTTGGCTGGGATATAATGGGGATGCTGCGGACAAGATACTACTCCTCCAGGATCTTAGAGTCTGAGAGAAAAAATGCTAGAGATAGATCAGTCTGTCCAGATAAAATTTGCCCATTAAAAAAACCCCACCTCATTCTGTTTAAATTCTCATTTGTTTTTCTTTTAAAAGCAGAATATATGCTATGAAAAACATTGCCATGAAACAGTTATTTGTAGAAGCAGTTATGTATAGATCACATCTGACTTGTTTTGGCCTTTTTTTCAGGTAGAAGTTTATTGAAGTAAGATTGCTAATGCTGACAAGAGTTTTTCCTGTCACTTTCAGGCTTTACCTTGTGGGGTTCAGAGTACTCCTGGAACTGGAATGCTGTAGACGAGGGCCCGAAGAGGGACATTGTCAGGGAACTTGAGGTGGCCATTAGGAGCAGAACCAACCTGCATTTTGGACTGTACTATTCCCTTTTTGAATGGTTTCACCCACTGTTTCTTGAGGATAAATCCGGTTCCTTCCAGAAGCAGAAGTTTCCGGCTGCTAAAATGTTGCCCGAGCTCTACGAGTTAGTGGTCAAGTACCAGCCCGAGGTGCTGTGGTCTGATGGAGATGGAGGGGCGCCGGATTCCTACTGGAACAGCACCGGCTTCTTAGCCTGGCTGTACAATGAGAGGTGTGTGTGCTCTAGGACGCTGGAGTTGCCTCAAGTGCTCCTAAAATATGCATGACGTTTGCATTCCCAGATTCATTCATGATATGAGGTTATAAATGGTGGGTCTATTTAAAGTATAGAGCTATTTAATGGACAGCAGTGTCTTGATCCCCCGCCGGCAGAAATCACTGTAAGTAATGTTATGGACTGTATCACTACTTACTCAACCAGGAGTAAACAAATCGGGAGTCAAGTACAAACCAATTGTCTGAGTTTGAAATCAGACTAAAAAAAATCGCAAGATCAAGAACTTGAAGTCCAGTAATCATGTGGGTCCCTCTTCCCACCTTCTGGCCCACACATCCCTGCTTCTGCTGTGCTCTGCAGTTCTTCTCACTCCTTTTGCTGTTGTGGTTGCTGTTGTTGTTTTGAGGCAGGGTCTCGGCTGTGTAGCCCAGGCTGGCCTTGAACTTGAACCAGCTGTGATTCTCCTGCTTCAGCTGAGTGCACCACCACGCCCGCCCTCATTCCTCTCCCACTCATTTTCCCATGATTAGGCTGCATCTGTGTCCTCTTCTCCGTTGTCCTCAGCATCCTCGCCACATCCTGCTCTCCTGTTGCTTCTTGGCGAGGTCAAGAGTATGAGTGCATTGAGTGCTGCCTGCGCTTCTCCATTAGGCTTGACTGATCCGGGCCATGTTTACATTTATAAGTAGAAAGCGCCTGGTCTTGTGCTATGAAGTCAGGCCGCTTTTTGGGTCCACCAAAGGCACAGATACAAATGTTCTGGAGAACTCTTTTTCTTTTCTTCCCCGCCCCCCCTTAACTGAAGATCAAACCCGGGTACTCTTTCACAGAGCTCGATCCCCAGCCCTTTTGATTTTTATTTTGAGACAGAATCAGCCTCAGCCCTCTGAGTAGTGGGGATTATGGGTGTGGGGCACCAGCTCGGCTTGTCTGGAGGGTGGGGAGACTATGGATTGAACCCAGGGTCTCACAGACACCACCTAAGCACTCTACCACTGAGCTCCATCCCCACCCTGTGGAGAACAGATACTGTGAACAGCAGGGTCTTGAGGAACTCCTGCCAAGGGAAAAGACTCAGAGCCACTTTAGTATGTTATCCCATCCACCCCCTGAGCTGGGTGTGGTGGTACACACCTTTTATCCTAGCACTCTGAGAGGCTGAGGCAGGAGGAACTGCAAATTTGAACTCAGCCTGGAGAATTTAGACCTGTTTTAAAATAAAAAAGGGTTAGGGGTGTAACTCAGTGCAACAGCCCTGGGTTCAATCCTCAGTACAACAAACAAAGCAAAGCAAAACAAAACAAAACACACCACTGTCCCCTGTAAGTGGATTTCTGTTCCCTCTACTTGAATTATCAGTCATGATAAAAAATGTTGGGATATTTCACATGGTGTCAACGCTCAATTTTTCTGATCTTTTTCAATAGTAGGCACCATTTCATGAGAAAGAGAAAGGCTAGAATATATTTGAGAGATGATACAGTTCTTGGAGAAGAGACTTGTGAGTGCATCTGCACTGGCCACGCTGGACTGTCTTACACTAATTCCATTTACTCCAATAATGATGAGGACATTCATTATGTAGGCAAGCTGGGTGACCTGCTGTAGGTCTGGGAGCTACACAGTGACAGAGCTGGGACTCCAATCAGCCTAGGTCTGTTTGACCTCGGAACCGCGGGCTTCCCATTATGTGTGTTATGCTATGGTCCTTTTTCAGGAGTGGGTTCGGGTGGACCTCTTTTCAGTGGCATTTCTTTTTGCATTAAAAAAGAAACTTCAAAAAAATTATACTTTTCATTTCAGCCCAGTTCGGGACACAGTGGTCACCAATGACCGCTGGGGAGACCGCTGCATCTGTAAGCACGGGGGATACTACACCTGCACGGATCGCTATCATCCGGGTCATCTCTTGTTCCATAAGTGGGAAAACTGCATGACAATAGACAAGTTTTCCTGGGGCTACAGGAGAGATGCTGAAATCACGGATTACCTCACGATTGAAGAACTGGTGAAGGTACAGTGAGGTGTCTGGGGGCTGATCCTGTTGTATTCTTAGTAGTGTGGTTGCATGGGGAATGTCATTTATAGTTTGGATGGTTCAGTGGCCCGCGCACACAGGGCGTGTATCAGCACATGAAAAATGGAATGGTCTTTATGTGTTTAAGAACTGTACCCATTCTTACATTGTTAGCAACTTGTGGAAACGGTTGCATACGGAGGAAATCTTCTGATGAACGTCGGGCCCACATTGGATGGCACCATTTCTGCCATTTTTGAGGAGCGATTAAGACAAATGGGGACCTGGTTAAAAGTCAACGGGGAAGCCATTTACAAAACTCACCCTTGGCGATTCCAGAATGAAACTTTCACCCCAGATGTGTGGTAAGTCTTTCTGGTCATAGAGCACTACCTGATAGAGGAAGACATTTAACATTTCTCAGAGATAGAGAGAACTGGATAAAAAAGAACTTGGATGAATCTACCTATCCAACACACTTTCCAACTTTACCCAAGAGAAGGAAGGGGACAAATGATCATGTTTTTGAATAGTTCATGTTTATCCGATTCTGCTTGCATCATCTCTAGGTAAGTCCTAGTGGTGGACACATTTTAGCCAAACCATAGTCAGCTTTTATGAAACTATAAGCTCTTCAGGTAAGTGAAAAAATTCTGAGTGGTTTAATGTAATACAGACTATTGTTTAGTCAATTCAGTGAATTCTAACTTTTGCAGAAGTCTTACTCCATCATATTAGCAAACAAGATGTGTCCACAGGCAGAGAAAGTAGGGGTCTAAAATCAGCCAAAATAGAGAATATTCCAGGAAGGTGGCAGGGTAAGAAGCACCGGGTATCCGTGCCCCTACCTAGATAACAATTGTGCTGGTGTTGATGGCCAGCGTGTAAGAGAAAAGATACCGAACATCACTAATCACTAGGAAAATGCAAATAAAAATGGTGTGCCCTGGGTTTGCTGGCATTCAACTCTACTCCCTGCACTCAGAAGGCTGAGGCTGGAAAGCGAGTTGGACGCCAGCCTGGGGCACACAGTGAGACCTTGTCTCAGAAGAACAACAAATTGGCTACTGTGTTCTCTCTTTCTCAGTGGCCTGCACTCACTCTGCAGAGCACACCTCTTTCCCTATCTTTAATAAATGTAAAACCTCACTAAACAACAAGAAGCAGCCCCAAAACTGCAAGATAGCACTTCACACCTATTAGGACAGCTGCTGTTAGAAAAGAAAAGAAGTGTCAGTGAGGGCCTGGAGAGCCTGGTGCCCTTGTGTCCTGCTGGTGGGAATGCAGGACGGTAGAGTTGCTGTGGAAAATAGTACAGCAGTTCCCCCCAATTTAAAAATAGAGTTACTCTATGATCCAGTAATTCCACTATGTTCATAGCAGAACTATATTCACAATAGTTGAAATGTGGAAGCAACACAAGTGTCCATTAACAATGAATGGATAAGCAAAAGGTGATATGTGTGTATACTCTGGTGTGTACATATTCGGTCTGGAAAAGGGAGGAAATCCTGACATATGCTACAACATAAAGGACACTGTATGACTTGACATAGGCTAATCACAAAAAGACAAATGCTATATGAGTCCATGTATATGAGGTACCTGGAGTAGTCAAACTCCAGGAGTGGAGCTGTACAAGGTGGAGCCTCAGAGATGGACGGTGGCAGCGGCTGTATAACATTATGCACGTATTTCATACCACGTTAAAGACAGCAAATTTCATTATGTCCTGCCACAATAAGAAGATTGGAAAAAGTCAGCTCAAAACAATAGCACTATTTCAAGTGATTTTAAAAAATGTTGTTTGTTTATACTATTCCAATAAATTGAGATCCAAAGTCTCTTTGAAATTATCTTAACTGGCTTATTGTTCTTTCAACTAATACCTTCTTTAAAAACTTTCTCTCTGGCTTCTCTCTGAGCTCGGGAGGGTTCTGTGTGGCAGTGAGTATCTGAATCGGACTATACCAAGTGGGATTTGATGTGGGGGCTGGATCTCTTAAAGCATACTTCCAACTCACCAGAAAATAAACCAAGCAGGGCCGGGGATCTAGCTCAGTGGTTCTGGCACCTGCAGCGCAAGCACAAGGTCCGGAGTTTGATCCCCGGTACCAAAAAAAAAAAAAAAAGTAAGCAAACCTAGACAGAAGCAAGTAGTTGAACAATTTTAGAATCTTGGGTTTGGGAGAAGCCTCAGTGAGCCACAGTGAGCCACAGTGAAGCCCGTATGTTACAGATAGTTTCAATCAGACTTGGGAATTTGTTTCTGTGCTTGAAATTGACTATAAGGGTCTTTGGTCTGGGAGCTCACAATCATTAATCATCATTCCCTCAAGTGTTTATTTTAGTAAAGATAATAGCCAGATCTGGGTGTGGTGGTGCACACCTGTGCATTTGGGAGGCTGAGTCGGGAAGATGCTCAAGTTTGGGACTAGCCTGTCTACAGAGTGAGTTCAAGGCCAGCTTGAATAGTAGACCTCTGTCTCAAAAAAATCCAAATAAATAAGTAAAATATTTAATGAGTCCTATGAAGCTGAGTGCTGTACTCCCACCCTTTCCCTGCCCGAGTGCCCTGCCATCCTCCTGCCTAGGAGCTCTTTTCCGCCATGGCTTCGTCATGATGCCCGCCTCCCTTCTGCTGGCTATAATCTACACACTCCCAGGTCAAACCTTAAAGCCTTTCTGGAGTTTAGCCTGGCTTGCTGCTCCTGTTCCCAGAACAATTCTTAAAATCCTTCTTAGTGGTTTTCATATCTCACCCGACAGTTCTGATTTTCTGTCCACCTCCTTTCTGGGGCTCCTGTTCATTGTACCTTTGCTATGCCTTCCTTTCGTCTCACCTTAGGCCTTGCATCACCAGCAGCTGCACCCTTTCCATGGTTTTAATTTGAAGTGCCCTACTGCCCACCACCTCTTAGATTGTGGCTCACTCAACGTAGCCCTTCAGCTTCGAAAGGGAGCTACAGTGCAAGGATCGGGCCATCTTTAATTCTGTCACTTTTCTCTGTCCCTCAGCTCTCAGATCTTCTGCCATATCTAGGTTGGATCTGTGGCCCAGCATTGTCCTTAATCCGTTGCATACACCCTTAACTCCTGAACCTTTTCTTCCTCTCACTTGACAGGATCCCACCTGTGGTTAAATTCAGCTCCACTCATTCCATGGCTTTCCCCAGACAGCTAAGTGTGAGCACAAATGCACACATGCACACATGGTGCCAAATTATCTCACTTCGGCTTTGAGGCCAACCCTTGTTTTCTGGCTGTCATCCCTGATCATCCACGTAAGCATTGCTGCAGCAAGTCTCCTTTTGCACTCATTTTCTTTTCCCTGCTCTATTAGATTCTTTCCTGTCACCATACGAACATGTTATTTCTCTCATCTTGCAAAAGTACTCTTTCAACTCTGCTGATGTGTCTAGCTACCTTCTCATCCCTTCCTTTTCTTTTAGTAAATCATCTAGAGTAAATGGTGTCTCCAACTCCTTGCTGAAGTTCTCCTCTTGGATCCATTCAGCATGGGCTTCCCACACTCCACAGAATTGCTCTTGTGAAAGCCTGCAGTGGCCTTTACCTTGCCTATCCAGTGCTGAGCTTATTTTCTGAATTTATTGGCAGCTTATTCTCAGTTGATCCCTCTCTCGCCTGGTTTTCATCACACTGCTTGGCTGTTCCTTCTTAGTCTCCTTTGGTGAGTCTACCTGATTTTCCCAACCTATAAATCTTGAAGTCCCTGAGGCTTAGTCCTTGGGCTTCTGATTTGCTCAGTGTATTTTAGTTCCCTGGGTGATCTTGTCCATTATCCGGGCTTTAAGTGTGTTGTGTAGATGGGCTTGCCACATGTCTATTTCCAGTGCTGACCTCTTTTCGAACTCCGGCCTCCCATATTTAATTTCCTACTCGGAATTTTTACTTGAATGCATGAACATCTTCAACTCATGCGTCCAAAACTGAGCCCTGATTTTAAGTTACTATAAACCCGTGGTTATTTCAGTTACCAGTAGCTTCATCCTTTTAGGTGGATGTCAGGCCAAAAACCTTTGAGCCCTTAACTTCCCTTCCTTTTTCTTCCCAACTCCCATTTCTCTTCCATCCACAGTCATTCCATCAGCAGACACTTATCTTTTTTCTTTTTCCTTTTGTGGTACTGGGGATTAAATCCACCATACTTTGGCACTGAGCCACATCCCCAGCCCCCTTCATCCATCCATTCATTCTTTTTTTCAGACAGGATCTCGCTAAGCTGCTAAGTTTCCCAGGCTGGGCTGAACTTGCGATCCTCTGCCTCAGTTCCCCAGTGCTGGGCTTCCGGGCATATGGCAACGTGCCTGGCAATGCCACCACCTTTATCTCAGCGGTACAGCTAGGATCTGACCACTTCTTACCCTCTTTGCAGTAGTTCTCATCCTCTCCCATCCTTTTGGTTTCTGTTGTCTCACCACTGGACTATTTCAGTAGCTTCTTGACTGACCTCTGCTCTTGCCCTTTTGCTCCCTTATTCTCCACAGAACAATGAGACTAAAATTTAAACAATGCCACTCCCATGCTCACTTTCTTGTGGTAGCTTCCAGTCTGTGAAAAAGCCAGGTCTTCTGACAAACATGCTTAAGTGCTGCATTGTTTCTCTGGTGTGAGAACCGAAAGTGGAAATGAGGACTGAAATGTTAATGGATGTTGGGAAATGGGAAGAAAGTATTCAAATGGGAAGGGGAACAGGGAGGAGGGAGGGAGAAAGGAAGGGAAGGACAAGAAAAACAAAAGGAAAATGGAAGGAAAAAATGGAAACAAAGCTTTTGAACATAGGGGAGGAGGGTTGAGGGTGGGAATGGGATAAAATACAATAAAACTCATTAAAAAGTGGGGTCTTACAGAGCCTCTCAGGGCCTGTGAAATCTGGTCCTCTGACCTGGCCAGCTCCGAATTCCTCCCCTCACTCACCCACCTTGCTGTTGGGTACCTAGCTCCCTCCCGGGGATGGTCTCACCCTGGGGCCTTGCACTGGGCCTCTGCCTGGGAGGCTTTCTATGCCTGCTCCTTCGCACTGGCACTGGGCACTGTCTGCTCTTCCAGTCTCTGTGCTGCCTCCTGGGCGGCGGGTGGCCTCCCTGACGGTTCCTCATTCTTCAGAGCACACCCTCCCCTGCTCTGTCTCCACTCTCGAATGCCCCATGCAGCGTCTCTCCTGACTGCAGCTTTCTCCCAGCTTTGATCATCGCTTGGAGCACATTCGCTTGCTCAACCCAGCTTCTCTCACAGGTGCCAGGCTCCAGAGAATGAGAACTTTGTTCAGTGCTGTACGTCTAGCCTGGACACAGTGGCTGGTGTTTTAGGGTCTCCGTAAATATTGCTGAAAACTTGAGTGGACAAATGAATGGATTTCTGCAGAGCATACTCTCTTTATTCAGATTCATCCTGTGAGCCTCAGATTAAATGTCATTTTCTTGCTTAGACATCTTTCTGATGGTCCAGTCTAAAAGAAGCCTTTGCTGTATTTTTCAATTTCTTTTCTTTCAGTGTATATGAAAGTATACATACTTTCACATAGTGAAAACACATACTTTTGTGTTATTTGTGGGAGTTTTTCCCATTCTAGTCTCAGGCCCGTAAGAAAAAGAACTCTGTTTCTTTTTGTTTTGTATTCTTAACAAGGAGCACAGTAGGGCTGTGAACACAAGCTTTGAGCCAGCAGGTAGAAAGCTGTCTAGCTCTCGTGCCCTACCCTGGCAGCTCACCTGTGCTCTCCTCTCTCAGCTCCGTGAGTGCAGTCTGAAGAGGAATCCCAGCTGAAGAAAACCTTTCTCTCCCAAGAGCTTCATTGTAGTATTGGAGGAATGGAAAACAGAAGTCCTTTTTATACCACTGTGGGCTATTTTTCCTTCTCTTTTATTAAGGGAGACATTGGTAAATATTTACCACATAGAAGTATTACTGAAAATAACCTCAAATTTGACCTATAAATAAGGATGGGATATAATGACTTGTTTCTGTGCTCTTTTTTTCTTTTAACCAGGTATACATCTAAACCTAAGGAAAAATTAGTCTATGCCATTTTCCTTAAGTGGCCCATTTCAGGACAGCTGGTTCTTGCCCAACCCACTGCTATTCCAGGGGAAACAGAGGTAAGAGGGAATTTTATCTTTATTCCTCCTTTAAATTGCTGACTAAAATAACTGAATGAGACATAATTTGCTTTAATTTCAATGAGAACCTTATCTGTGTTGCTCTTGTACGTAAGAGTAACTTTAAGGTGATTTTTGTCAATGGCAAATGTTTGGCCAAAACTTTTTGAAACTTCTAAGAAAATTTTTCTTTAAAAAAACCCATTATCTCCATACATAGCAATGTAAAATAGACATTTTTCCTCTTAGTTACTCTACATTGTTCAGGTTCACTGCATGCATCCAAAGTGATTTTTCGTACAACTATAATTCCCCAACATAACACTCCAGAAGATATCAGAAAAAAAGGTGTCAGCACCCCACTGTTTTAATCTGTTGTAATTACCAGGTCTGGCATTGAGATCATTTTGGTGTATTTTATAGCTTGCTCTTTCAGAACCTGATGATACTTTTGGAAGTTTTTCTTTTATCACCTTTCCATATTTCATTTCTAATGTGTGTGGTTGATCATGCAGAAAGATGATGTTCTGATCTAATGTTTAATTACATCTATGAAGCCCTGACAGGACACTGGTTATCTTTCGATCTTATCTGTGTCCTCGTTAGCACAAATTGATATCATTAAAAGTTCATGGGTTTTATTTTCATTGATCCACCTGATACACAAAATTTTATGCTTCAAACTATTTCTAAAATACATACAGAACTGCTTATTTGAATTCCCTTGGTATAGTCAAGACTGAGGGTATAAAGCATAGCAATAATTGATTAAATTTATGTATTATTAATTAGTAGAGGTTACTGGAAGATGTGGCGAGGAACAGTGGCTAAGAGCAGGGAGCTTTCTCCAAACATTCTGTGAAACAAGCGGGCAGGCCTTAGTTGGTCAGATTGGTTCTCATATAGAGTATATTATCAGATCACAGTGCAAAGTTAACTAGAAATCAATGGCAGAGGAAACCACAGAAGTTATACAAACACATGGAAATTAAACAATACACTTAAAGAATCCATGGTTCCAATAATTTTCTGTCCCTGGTCCTTTCTTTGGCATTTTCCCTCTTCTAACACTCTCTTCTACCTTTACAGTTCTTCCCCGGTATCCTCATATTTATTTCCCTTTTGAGAGTAATAGAAAGGCAAGATCAATGTATCCACTTAATTGGATCAAGAATTAAAAGAGCTTGTGAATCACTAAACATAAAGGAAGGGATCTTCTGTGTATGGTGCTTTTCTGAGAAATGCTACTCCCTGCTTCCCATAGAAAGTTGGTGAGTCAAAGCAGTGCCCTTAAGAGACATTTGTATTTATGTTTCTAATTTCAGGTAAAACTACTGGGACATGCACAGCCACTTTTCTGGACTTCTTTGAAGCCAAATGGCTTGATGGTGCAATTGCCACGGCTAAGCATTCATCAGATGCCCACTAGGTGGGGCTGGGCTCTCAAACTAACGAACATGATGTAAGTGCAGCTGAGAGGCCCCTGCTGCAGTTACCTCTGAACTTGGAAATGGCAGGTTTCTATAATTGTACTACATGGAGAACGCTAATGTAAAACTGATCAATAAAAATCAAGAAACTATTTAGGAAAATTCTTTCCTAACTTATTTCCTAAGTTTTCCCTATTTAACATTACTATTTTAATTTTCCAGTGTACTTTGCCGTTGAAGTTTCTCCAAACTGAATCTTTTTTCATGTGTGAGTCAGAGGTGGAAATGTTTCTGTTTTATCCTACCTAGGAACTATTGGTGCTATCAATTGAATTCCTCCCCCCCCCCATTCTTATGTTGAAGCCCTAACAGAAGTGTGACTGTATTTGGAAACAGAGCCTTTAAAGAAGTAATTAAGGTTAAATGGGGTCAGAAGGGTGAGGCTCTAATCCAGCACAACAGGTATTCTTATGAAGGAAAGAGACAGAGAAGCCCTGTAAAAAGATATATCAAGAAGGTGACCATGTGCTAGGGCAAGGAGAGAGGTGCCAGAAGAATCCAAATCTGCTGACATCCTGATCTGGGACTTCTGGCCTCCAGAACTGTGTGAAAATAAATTTCTGTTGAGTTATCTGGGCTGCGGTTTTTGTCATGGCAGCCCTGGTTTACAATGTAGGTGGTATCCAATAAACTTGGGCTTATATACATTTCCAATGCATCTTGTCTTTTTCCTCTTATTTCTAAAACTAATATATGGTCACTGTAGATATTTTGGAACTTATAGATAATACTCAAAAAATAATGGATGTTGAGAAATGGGAAGAAAGGGTTCAAATGGGAAGGGGAACAAGGGAGGGAGGGAGAAAGGAAGGGACGGACAAGAAAAAAAGTGAAAATAGAAGGAAAAGAATGGAAACAGCTTTTGTACATAGGGAAGGGGACTTGGGGGGAGTGGGATAAAATACAATAAAATTTATTTTAAAAAGTAATATTTAATAAAAAGAGATATACTCAAAGATAAAATCACTGCTCAGATCACCACTATTAAGATTGTTTTTTTTAGGGGGGGGGGTTGAGATACGGCTTTTTTGAAGATGGGCTAATAGGAGGTTCAACTTAAATTGATAAATTTAATTGTTCATTGTATTTGTTGTCAAGCAAATTGAAGTTGAAAACTTAGTTGAAAATTAGGAAATCTATTCAAATCTCCTAGAATGAAGCACAAATAATACTGATGTTGATATAAGTAAGGAAAACCAATTAAAGAACTCATTCCTCTCAACAAAAGATGCATAATACAATTGTTTCTTTAAGTGCTTTGATTCCATTTTGTCACATTAATCAGCTGCAGACATCTCATTGTTTAAAAAATCAGTGAAATTAAACACATATTGTTTACTAAAATCATGCTAAGCTTGAAAACTTTTTTAAAAAAATTACTCATTGTTGAAGTTCTTGCAACTATCAAAAATTAAAAAAAATTTTTTTGAGACAGTTTCTCGCTATGTTGCCTGGGCTGGCCTCAAGTTCTAGGCTCCAGTGACCTTCCTGCTTCAGCCTCCTGAGTAGCTGGGATTACAGGCACATGCAGCTGTACTCGCTGCCACTATGGAATATTTCAAATCATGCCACAGTATTTATGTGACTAAATACTTAGGGAGTTCTAAATACCAATTAACATTTTATTAGAGAGCTGCTGTTTGTAGCTTTTCATGGTTCTGAATAAACAAAAATAATAGAAATAGGAGGGAGATGGATCTTTTGCAAAAGGGAAGGGGACCAAGCGATAGAGGGGGGTGGGGTAGGGCATGAAAACCAAATGGAGATGAATTATGTGCATGGACCAACTTCCCATGAGTACTGCAATCATTACGTACTGCAAACATGTACTAGTCAAGATGAAAAATTGAAAATAAAAAAAAGGAAAAACAACAAACTAAAACCAGACCAAACTGTTGCAGGAACCTTAACACAAAAGGTCATCTGTTGTTTTGAAGAAAGTAATTTTGAGACTAAAAGTTGTCATCTGCTTAAATTGCTATCATGCCCAACTTTACCTCTTAATGAAGGAGGAAAATGGAAATAGCTAAGCAAATTACGGTTAGATGGAGGCTTTCGTTGATGTGCAGCTATGAGGGAGCTACAAAACAAAATCCATGTCAGCTTCCAGAGATGCTGATGTTTTGCTTATAACTGGACATTATATAAAAATCTGAAACCCTAAATTTAAATTTACTTAAGGCGTAGCTTGCTTATATGCAAAATGTACTATAACTAGATCTTTAAATGTTTAAGAATGCCAAAATGCTTCATCAAACTCTTAAAATTATCTGTGATACGGAGGACAAGAAATTTAAGGATAATCAGATGTCTCTTTAAATTTTAGTGCTGGGGATTAAACCCAGTCTTCACACTGAGCTACATCTCCTGCCCTTTTTAAAAACTTAAAAGAGGGTCTCATTAAGTTGCCTAATTGGAATTCAAACTTGTGATTCTCCTGCCTCAGCTTCCCTCAGTACTGGAGTTACAGGCCTGCGCTACCCCACTCGGTTTGTTATCTATGTAAGCCAATAGTTTTTATCGTCTAGTTAATCCTTTCCCTATTACTAGTAGGTACTAAATTGCTTTCAGAATTTAGTAACTACTGATTTACTTTTAATGACTGAAAGTGGAAGGTAAACCACCCTAAGATTATTAGATTGACTAATCCAGACATTGATGTTGATTTTACCATTTTATATATGGATATGACTTTAAGGAGATTTTTATCTCATTTTCTTATGAGCACCATACTGAACACATGTAATTGCTCTAAAGGTTCAGGCTATTCAAATAAATATGAATTACAACAAATTTTCACTTCAGTTCATTTTTGTTAAGAAAAAGACTTGGTTAGATTAAGAATCTTCCCCCTAATTTCCAAACAAAATTAGATATAACAAACACATTTATACAAGAAAGAAAACGAGTTTTGAGCAATATCCATGTAACCAACTCTTGGACTAACGGGGCTCTCCATTTCCTCATTGAAGTGTGCTGACTGACTCCCAGGACGAGGGGCAGGATTTCAGCCCTCAGGCACTCTCTGCTTCTGCTCTGGCATGCTGCAGTGTCCACAGACCAAAGAGAATACCCTGGGGAGAGACGTTAGAAAAGGCAACAGACCCACGAGCACACCACGTAAAGATGAGGCAGGGGCTAGGATGCTGCTATTATAAACCAAGGACCACCTGGGGGCACAGGTGCTGGAAGAGGAAAGGAAGGTCTTGGGGATCTTCCCTAGAGCCCTCAGGGACCTTCATGTTTCATTTCTAGCCATCAGGACTGTAAGAGAATAAATTTCAGTTCTTCTAAGCCAGTCCGTAATGGAAATTTGTTACAATAGCTTCTAGAAAACTAATACAGCTATCAAAGTAATAGTTACCAAACTGATTATGGCAGTTGAACATTGACTTACATGATTATGTGAGCTCATGTCATGTGTAAAGAACTGTAGTTTTTATGAAAGCCAAGTTGAATACTTCGGAAAGACCAGATAAAAGTTTGCTGCCTTTTGTTGTGGTTTGGATCAGGAAAGTTTCCCAAGGCCACGTGCCATGCTGGGGTGTTGATTACCCGCCAAGGTTTTTGGAAGGTGACTGGATCTAACTTCATTGGCGGATTAATCCATGGATGGGTTCATAATCCATGGATGGGTTCATAATCCATGGATGGGTTCATAATCCGATGGCAATACTGGAAGCTGGTGGAAATGTAGAAGAGGGGTCCGAGGGAAGGGAGTGGCTGAGCCCTTTGGGGACTACTCCTGTTCCTGGAACCCTTTCTTCCTGGCTTTTTCCCTTGGTTTACTGGCCACCCTGACGTAAATAGCTTTACTCTGCCATGTCCTTCCGCCATGATGTTTTTGCCTTACCACAGGCGCAGAAACAACGGAGCCACTGATCTTGGATTGAAATCTCTCAAACTGCACCAAAGTAAATCTTGCCTCCTTAAGTTGTTTTTCTCAGATGTTTTGTCACAGTAATGGAAAGCTAACACACACTTACAATGTTAAAAAAAAATTAAACTGTTGTGAGCAAAACAGTGCCAAGAAATGGGGAGATGTTAAAAAAAATTAAACTATTATGAGCAAAACAGTGCTAAGAGATGGGGAGATATAATAAAAAGCTCCAAGAATTCTGAACTTCTGGTTCACTCTCATGAAATGAAACGCATGTCACTCGTACAAGAAAGACAATTAGAGAACAGCTTTCAGTGGACCTATGGGGGAAAGCACTACGCTAACCACTAGGCCATCAATGACCCAGCTTAGTGGACACATACTAAAAAAAGTAGAAAAAGCCCGAGTCCTATGGGAAATCACTAGCCAATAAAGAATATCTGCATTTTAGGTTAAAAATTTTTATTTTTAATTTTAAGCATACATGTATCTGGAACACACACACACACACAAAATCATTTGAATCACTCACTGAGTCTCAGACAAGACGGCTCCAGGACAATTAAAAGACAACTTGGTAATGCCTAATGCCAAAGACATAAGGGTAACTTTAAGATACAGATGGTTTTATGCAGCTATCTCCTCCATGGCCATAACTCTAAACAATGCAGATGGTTTTAGGTGATAATTTTTAGATAATCAAATTTTCTTATGAGGCCACACCTGTTCAGTTTCAAAATTTTCCTGGATGAAATCCTGGGTAAATATTGTTGGAAGACATGCATGTCCTATTCACTAGTTTTCCAAAATGCAATTTTTTCCTTTACCCTAGTAGAAACAATATCATTCCATTCTGTCAAATTCTGAAAAGAAGCATTTACCCTGTTTTTAACCCTTACACCTGCTTTTTAACATTGTAGGTAATGACTCCAGTAGTCATGTCTGGGCCTAACCAGGCCCTAGAAGAGACTTCACAATTCATTTTCTATCTTCTATGATTTAGATATATGTTATGTTGAAGGGCCAAAAACGATGGTAAAGAAAATCTATTACTGAATATATATCAAATACACAAATGATACATGATTCATTTATTTCTTCTCTAATTACCCTTTTAAGTACAGAACTATTGATTTACTAGAGACAATGAATCATTTTTCAGAAGGTAATGCCATTTACTTTTCCTAAATAAATAAAAGTAATAATTATATTACTAGTTAAAATGAAACTTAGAAACGAGCAGGATCTCTCTTCTAAAATAACCGCATGTGCTATGGAACAAATAAATTAATGGCTTAAAAGTAGTCACTCAACAAAGGCAAATTTTATTAAAATAGTTTATTGTAATAGATATTCCTTGTACTCAAAATCAATACAAAGTTACTAAAATTATTTACATACAAGTGAATAAAATCATGTAATTGTATTAGTCAGCCTCTCACTGCTGATACACAATACCCAACACCACAACTTAAAGGCGGAGAGGTTTAATCTGCTCATGGCTTAGCCCATGGTCTGCTGCACCAAGGCAGATACCATGGTGGGGGGTGAAGCAAGCAAAGCTGCTGAGTTCTTGGCAGCCTGGAAGCAGAGCAGGGGGTGGGGGGAGCAGACTCATTCCAAGGCCGTGGCCCCACAACTCTTCCAGACGCACCTACAAATGTGCTCCACCAATTCCAAAGGCAACCAGGTTCAGCTCCACCCCAACCAGCACAGTAACTAAAGGCAGCGAGTAAAACTGCAGTGACCCAATTTCAGCCTGCAAATCATTATGTAACTCTATAGGCTGGTGAACACAGCTCAGAAAATACTACAAAGCAAAAGCAAAGTAAAAAATGCAAGGAAAAACACAGCTGATCACAGTTGCTAAAGTTCACGAATTTCCATAAGAAGAAAAGTCCTCCATCAAGGTATAGTTGAAAGAAATAATTTATCCCTTTGAAGGCAATGTGCGAAAAGTCCAATTTACTCCTGATTAAGTCCAGGAAACTCCATGACTAAACAGCGTATCTCCAAACTTCACACATCATAGACCTATTTCCCAAACAGATTTCTCCTCAGTATTACTGTCAAAGTCCACTGCATTTCCTACAGCACATAGTCATTTCATATATAAAAGTGTCTACAGTAGTTTTAGGTTGGCTTGGATCAAATACCCATGGTGCAACAAACTATAAACAATTCTGATATTTGCACTGTGTGTATACTTGGATATGCCTGCAAAAGTGGTCTGTTGATGCATTTAAAAAATACATTATGCTGCCAAATAAATCTATTTCATTATGAAATGAAGACTTAGATTAAGAATATATTTTTATTAGGTATTCTGGAAATAAACTGTCATTGTAGGTATAGTTGACTTATTCCATGTATTTTTTTTTAAGTAAATGAATCAATACCACTGTAGTTTTTCATGAAGGAAAAACATCATTTCTCCAGTTGCTGAGGGGTACTAAAAGCTTCGTACACATTAGCAGCAAAGTCTTTCACTTGCTCCATCATCAACAGATCCTAGCAAAGACAACAGTATAAGATTAATGTTTGTAAAAAGTATAAGAAATTCATTTTGAAGTCATTTCTATAATTAAGCAATGAATTTGGCTCAAAGTTTTATGGTACATAAGGACAAGAAAAAACTAAGGAAGGGAATACTTTTTTCTTTTTTTGTGGTACTGGGGAGTAAACCCAGGACCTTTGCACTGACCTACACCTATATTCCCTGCTCTTATTTTTTAATTTTGAGACAGGTTGTTGCTAAGTCACTAAGTTCTTCAGGCTGGGACAGAACTTGTGATCCTTCTGCCTCAGCCTCCCAAGAGTTCTGGGATCACAGGCATGTGCCACCACACTTGGCTTGTGTAAGTTATTATACGAAAGATGGCAGTGTAAGTATTCAAGTTTGATTCAGAAAAGAACCTCAATAGTCTTCATATAGATTTTTATACATGTCAAGGATTACGTAAGTTTCTATCCAATAAGTGATCTCAACATTAAAGTTACAAGATTAAAAAGTCACTTTTGCTGGAATCTGACACAGTTGAGGTATATGACTTTCTAGAAGACCTAACATATGATATGTATACATATAGTATGTACATATTTTCTATACACCTATGTACAAAAACTACACATATGCACTTTAGAATGAAGGTTCTTAATCATCCCCCATGAAACCTGTGAATATAAAGAAAAAAGCTATTTTATTTTCACTAACTTCTAACCGAAATCTAGCATATCCTTCAAATATGAACAAAGGCAATAAACTACAATAGTATTAAGCAAAATATATAAATTTGTCTTCAAAAGAAACCATAGACATTTTTACATCACATGACAGCAGAAGTTATTATAACCCCCATTACACCTTGTCATTTAATGCATAAATAAGGAAGCAATATTACTATATCATAAATTTGATCTTAAAAGGTATTTTGAAAACTGCATATTGGTTTCTTTAAAAATGTACATAAAGGAGAATTTTTTAAAAAGTGCATTTTTTGCTGGCATTTGTAGGCTGAAGTCTGAAAATGGGTCCACAGGATTCACATGGTGAAAGGTCCATGACAGAGAAGGCTGGAGTCGCCATGAGCATCAGGGACAGGAAATGAACCTGGCCTGTGTGCTCTGTCTTGGGTATCGGAAAACCCAAGTGAGACTTAGGGAAAACCTGATTTTCAATCAGCTCGTGGTTAAATTCTCTCATCAGAGAATTTTATGTATTCAATTTCAGTAATTCATTCTGGGTGTTCCATAAAACATAGTTTAACAGCAGTATTTATTTAGGATTTCAGACATGCCTTCAGGGACCCAAGAATCAGAGGGAAAGTTCTGTGTTCTGATTTCTACGAACATACAGAAGAAAATTCAGGCACATTCTGGGTCATATGGAAGACAGACGTGTGAACCAGTATTGACCCTGATTCAGAGCATTTGTTTGTACTTACGTTTATGTTCTTGTTGGCTCCAAGTACTGCTAGTTTAACTGTGTGTCTTTTGAGACAATGAGAAGACAACAAAGGCAAGCAGGGAAAAACAAAGGCAGGAAATCTTTGGAATGAAGAGCAAATCATATATCTCACATGACAAATGAAAGTTTCAGAAGAGTTACAGTGGCTACAAAGTGCCTGTCAGGTCAGGGGTAGAAGCAGGTTAAATGCCCCCAAACATGAATAGCAGCAGAGAAGCCCACATGCACCTAGGAACAAGGAGTTAGTAACTATCAACCAGATAATGGGAAGGGGTCGTTATTTTTATATTTTTGTGTTTAAATTATTTTGTGTATTTTTATAGTGTAGATTCCATTTGGTGTAGATAAGTTTTGGTTTCTGAGTTATGGAAAAGCTCTAAGTTTAAGATATTTCTATAGTTATTTATTTATTATAATTTGAACACTGGAGAATTGTGATTGTTTTTATACTTAGCAGTATATTAATAAGTTTGAGGAACATTACTGTAATGCAAAAGCAGCCAAAAATAACATAGAAGCCGAAAGGTAGGGCTGTTGTCCAATAAAACTTATAAAAACGGATGGTCGCCATATAGTTGCCTGTGTCCTGTTCTACAACAAGGACTTTAAACTTGTTTATTGTATCTTGCTGCAGCCTTCAGAAAAGGTTTTCAGTTTTGAGATAAAAATTACATATAACTGAGTTGGTTCAGACTACACATGCTCTTTCCTTGTGCTGTTTGCAAGCAATCGGAAAAATTTGTCTCCTTATGTTATTTGAAAATAATACAAAATTAGCTCTTTCAACTGTTTTCTGATTTTCCCATTTCCTACCTCTTCTGGCTACACTACCTACCATCTTAATATCTTCTGCCATCAGGGCCAGTGAAATATGGCTGGCAGGCGCCTATTTCTGTGTATAAAGTTTATCAAAACAGCCATACTCGTGTTTATGTATTGTTGATGACTACTTTCATACTACCATAGCAGAGCTGAACAGTTTCCACACAGAATGCAAAGCCTAAAATATTTACCACTGGCCAAGCACCCCTAATCTCCAAACCCAAAATCTAAAATCCTCTACGTCTGAAACTGTTTGATCACCAAGGGGATGCCACAAGTGGAAAATTCCACACCTGACCTCATGTAACAGGTCAAAGTCAAGATGCAAGTGTGGTAAGATATTATATAAAATGACCTTCAGGCTAGGCGTCTAAGGTGCAGATGAAACATACATGAATTTCGTGCTTACACTTGGGTCTCAACCCTAGGATATCTTAGTTTGTATATGCAAATATCCCCAAATCCAAAATAATTCAAAATCCCCCAAACACTCCGATTGCAGCCTTTCAGGTAAGAGCTACTCTGTCTCTTGCCCTTTACAGTTTGCCAACACTGTTCTACAGAACCCTACCAGACCATCTGCACACCTTTGTGACTGATGTAGCAGCAGTAATTCCAAGGGACTAATTTTCATGTATGTCAACGTTTCTTTTTTTTTTTTTTTGATACCGGGGATCGAACTTGGGTCCTTGTGCTTGGGCAGCAGGCGCTGAAACCACTGAGCTAAATCCCTGGCTCAACGTTTCAATTTAATTTAACATTCTAATCAAGGCAAAGGCTTTACAAAAGATAAATGGAAATAATAGAGCACTGTGTCAATCAATGGTCTAATGTATAAATTTAATCAATATCAATTCAAATTAAAAACCTTTATGAAACATTAATAGTAACAGTGTTTTTACTAGATTGAGACTTTGTTTTTATTATCAATTATATAGATCTGAATTACACTGGAGTAATAAAATTATTTAATAATTAGGCCTGATGACATTGGTTTATTTCCCACTTTTCTGTCAAACTGAACAGCCTACCTGTCACACCAGGGAGTTCTGAAGATGGAGAGAAAGGTAAAGCAAAGGTCACAGTGCCAGAAGTCACACGCTTTTCTCTCATACACGAGAAGCTCCAAAGTCGGTGACAAGTGACCAGCCCTAGTCACTACTTCCTCTGCAGTGTGAGTGAGCAGCTTTTATGGGTGAGAATCCAAAGAAGGAGGACAATGTGCATGGGAAGGACAGGCTAACAACCAGAGAGGAAGAAAGACAGACCTTAACCGTGCTGCCCCCACTCCCCGAGAGTGCAAAGCTTACAGAAGACACACCACACTGCCTGAGGCAAATGGCGCCAACAGTGGCCATCTCCACACTTGGGCCTCGGGGTCCTCTCCCTTCTGCACATTTTTGCAGCAGTTCCCAACTGAGGCACAGTGTACAGTTTTACTTATAATACAGTTTCCAAGTTTGCAAATGACTCTGAAAAAATGATGTAGATTCAGAGTTATCCTTTTTTTGGGGGGGTACCAGCGATCGAACGCCGTCTGGTCCTTGCGTTTGCACAGCAGGCAGCAGAACCACTGAGCTAAATCCCCAGCCCCCAGAGTTATCCTTTCAATAATACTGGTTTTACTGAATGGATTCCTAAGAAAAGATGGAGTTGTAGGTAGTTTAGGGAAAAATTTAAGTAACTCATTGTTTATGTAGCTTCTAGTGAGCAGACTGAAGTACAATTAACAGTGATACTTCATTAATTACTAAAACGCTTCTCCACAAAAAAATTTTTTTTTTGGTATAGGGGATCGAACTCAGGACCTCACATTTGCCAGGCAGGTGCTATGCTGCTAAGCTAAATCCCCGGCCCGCCACAAAATTTTTTAGTTCTTTTCAAACTTTGACAAATTAGATTCTTGATTTGCCTCAACGTTCCCTAACACAGCTTACTGTACAACTTAGTGCTATACATATTCAGCTGCCCCTAGAACATACGCGGGCTCAGTGTGGTCCAACATGGTACTGGCAGGTACCACGGGAAAGGCACTCCAACCTTCCAAGTGACTTACTCCTCTCCTGGGGTGGGCACTCTACCAACGCTCTACATTTGATTCCAGGTTTGGGTTCTTTTCAACAAATATGACGTAATTTTATGTTAGAAAACATGACAGTACCACAAATACAATTTCTTTTCAATGATACCCAAAAACTTTCTTCTTACCTGAACAAAATGACTAGGTGTTTCACTGCAAACTGAATGGATCTGTCCATTTACAATTGGAATTATCTTTGCTAAAGGCAGGCTGACGCTGGAATAACTGAAAAATCATCACAGCAATTATTTTCTGAAATTATCTCACATGCATTTAACATTTTAATCAGAAAATATATAGTCACTGCAGAATATATATAGAACTTTATTTTAAAAACCTAAACATAATTATACCACCAAGAAATAACAACTACAACTGACTTAATGGATAATTTTTCAGGTAATTTTTATATATGTATGCTTCTAGGTACTTATTTTTAACACAAAACTCTCCCAAAAAACATTATGTTTGCTTTTTTTATTATGAGCATTTTCCCATCTTCCTAAAAGTATTAAGTTTTTATCTTTTTTTTAAAAGACAGGATCTCCCTAAGCTGCTAAGCTGTTCAGGCTGTGCTCCGATTTGTGACCCTCCTGCCTCAGTCTTCCAAGTCAGGATTACAGGTGTGCACTGCTGTCCTCAGTGACTGGTTTTTAATGGTTATATGGGAATCTGTCCTGTAGGTCGAACAATTTTTATCATGAGCTCCCTAGAGTTGGGCATTAAGTTTTTCCGTTAAAGTTTTGCATTAAGTTTTTTTTTTTTTAATATAAGTAAGTCTGTAAGAACATGAATTACAGGTTACAGGGCATGGATGATTTTCAGTGTCCCGGAGTGTGGGAACATTCCTGCTCCATCCTGACTTCTTTCCACATTGTGCACTATGTTTTTCTTTAATCTCTGTGTGTCTGGTGAGTGAGACAGTATCTTATAGTCTGCATTCCTCTTATTGCTATCAATGTTGAGTGGTTTTAATCTCCTGTTCTGCTGAACTAGAGCACTACTTATCTGGAAATATAAATAGGAAAGATCCGCAGGCATTATCCTTGGTACTTCCTTCTCCTGCTGCTATCTGATGGCTCCATAATCCTAAATATCCACCCCCCACCCCTGCAAACTGAGTCCAGGGCCTGTTTCTGGAATTTATGTGGTATTCCACTAATTCAGCATTTTTGTAAGTAACATATTGTTTTAATAATTAGCACCTTATATATTTTATAGGAAAAGCATATCCACTGCTTTTCTTTTTAAATAATTTCTTGCATATTGTCAGTCTGTTATTTGTCTAGATAACTTTATTTTTCTTTGTCAGACTTTAAGATTAACAAAGGATTTTAAAATATTCATCATACATATAGTAACATACATACATAATGCTTATATAATATAAATAGCATATTTATAAAATATGCATCTTCATTAGTTTGGATCATTTTCAGTTCTCTTCAGAGTTCTGGATTAATAATACTAATACACATTAATAATGATGACATTTATCATAAATAATTAAAACTTACTTTTTTATTTTTTATTTTTACTGTTTCATTTTTTTTTTTTTTTTTTGAGACAAGGTCTTGCTATGTAGTTCAGGCTGGGCTTGACCTTATTATGGAGCCCAGACCGGCCTTCTGAGTGCTGGGATTAAAGGCATGTACTACCAGATCTGGCCAAAAAGCTTCCTTCTTTTTTTGGCTAGAACTTTTATAACATGTTAAATATTAATCATGACAGTAGGCACAATGACTTTGAAAGAAGGCTCAAAATGTAACAGGAATAAAACTTCAATTCAAAGTAGTACATCAGCTTGCACATGAAAGTGCACGTAATAAACTACTACCGGAGTTCAGAAAAGGCAGACTCTTGAGGGCTGATATGGTTGAAGGATAATTTTTATTTTTCAATGTACAAGATAAATAAGTTGTTCATGTTAAAGAACTATTCCAATTCTTTATCACCATTTAGGAAATAACTAATACCTTGCCAGGTAAAGATTATTATTAACAGGAAATTTTATTAACAAGAGTACCTATCTTTTTTTTTTTTTTTTTGGTACCAGGGATCGAACTCTGGACCTTGTGCTTGGAAGGCAGGTGACAGAACCACTGAGCTAAATCCCCGGCCCAGGAGTACCTATCCTAAAAGGAAGGTAGGCTTGGTCTTGAGCTGAAATTTATTTTTATGTACCTTAAAAGAATTGTTAAAAAAAGATCTCATGGTCATATTCAAATTGCTTCAGAAAATAAACTTTATGGCTATAAGCATTCCAAATGCTCAGTGTTAATGGAAAATTATTTTTCTGTACAATAGACAAGTCCCAGAGAATTATGCAAATAATGTTTTGACATTTATATTTGGAATTTAACTGGATGTCAGTTACTCTTTCCTCAGTTTTTCTTTTTTTTTGATAGAGTCTCACCCTGAAGACTAGGCTGGCCTCAAAGTCATGACTTTCCTGCCTGAGCCTCCCGAGTGCTATGTTTATAGGCATGCACCACCATCAACCAACATTGGTTTAGTACCCATTCTTTTCTGACTCATACAAAAACCTACAAAATAGAGGTACTTGAATAGTATAGATTCTAATATGAGACCAAAGATGCTCATGTTGTAGTGATAAATATATAATAAATCATAAGATATCTTCTGACATAGAATAGTTATGATTATCATCACTAACAATAATACTAACTACAATAAAGACAGAAAATGAATGTTTAAATAATTTCAGAGATGATTATAAAAAGATAATTATATATGTTATAACTGTAAGAAAATGATTTGCAAAATGAGAATCTACAACAAGATGCCTGATTATTATAATGACCAAAGTATTAAATTACATAAGGCAATAATGGCTTGTAGTACTGGAATAATATTAGAGAACACATTAAAATTTAATTATATTAACAGTTTTGTATTTGAAAGAGTTAAAAAATAACTGAATTTAGCTTACAGAAATCCAATATAGACGTAAAGGGTTTTGGGAAAAAAATGGAAATTTTAATAGTGAATCCAGAAGGAACTTTTGCTTATAAAGAAGTCATTGATTTAAAAGTGTTTATTTTGTTGGAAAATGAACTCAAATTTATTGTCTAATATTTCTTTTTTTATCTGAAACTAAAACACATAAAAAACACCAGTGTAGAAGAGCATCCATTGGGATGTCAGCACTTTCATACATCACCTTACCTTGTCATGGAGTTACTGGGATGCAGGTCCTGCTCAGTAGGTCGAAAAAATGTAGCCATGTTGTCCAGAAGTCTACTAAAACCTCGGTTCAAACAGGTATTCAAAACTGTACTGAAATCTGGACTATATAAAACAAGTATACATTAATTTTTAATTCTCAATGGAAAAGGAAACAAATTCAATAATCATATGGTTACCTTTGAGAATTACCAATATTTATAGTCACAATCTAGCTCATAGCGTGAAACACTGTAAAAATTTATCAAGGGGCCAAGTTTTAAAAATAAAGCATAAAAACTGAAATTGTTTAGGATAACACAATGACAGTACTCTTATATTTTGGTAGATCTTTTTATATTAGTCATTATGTACAATGCATTTTTAAAATAAAGTGTTACTGGGCCAGGGATTTAGCTCAGTGGTTCCACCACCTGCCTCGCAAGCGCAAGGTCCTGAGTTCAATCCCCGGTACCAAAAATAAATAAATAAATAAATAAATAAATAAATAAAGTGTTACTTCTCTTGAGGAAACCCCTGAATTCTCTTACAGATACAACTTAATGGTTTGCTTTACACTCTCAGGACATCTCAGTGAGACAGAAAACACTATGAGTACAGATGAGGAACTGGATAGTTGTGGGATGAAGAAACTTGCCTTAAAGGTATGCAACTAGTAAACTAGGGAGCTCAAATTTTATTTTTTAAAAATTAAGTTTATTGGTACATTTTAGATATACGTAAGGATCACATTCATCTTAGGGAATTTGTACTTGTACATGATATATCTTGATTCTTCTTTTTTTCCATTCCCCTACACTCCCTTCAACTCCTCTTATTTACAAAAGCTTTGTTTCCATTTTTTCCTTGTTTTTTTTTCCTTTTCCTTTCTTTCCTTTCCCTCTCCCCTCTGACTTAGTTCCCCTTCACATCTGAACATTTTATTTCTACTTCACAATATCTATTATACATTTTGGTGCTTATTTACACTTTTGGTTTCTCAAACCAGAGAAACAATGCAGTATTTAAACATTGTGTCAATTTATTTCACTTAAAGAGTATGGTCTCAAGGTGCATCCATTTACCTAGAAATGTCTCAAGTTTATCCTTCTTTATGGCTGCATTGTACTCTGCTGTATTAAAAAAACCACATCTCCTTTATTCATTCATCGGTTGAAGGGGATTTGGGCTGTTTCCAAGATTTAGCTATTACAAACTGTGCTACTATAAACATGGGTGTGTATATAGCAGTGTGGTATAATGCTTTTAATTCTTTCAGGAAGATACCAAGAAGGGGAATAGCTGGGTCCAATGGAACCTTCAGTTTTAGTATTTTGAGGAATCTCCACACTGATTTTCATAGTGGTTGTACCAGTCTACACTCCCACCAACAGTGAAGAAGGGTTCCTCTTTCCCCACAGCCCTGTTAGCATTTGTTGTTGTTTGATTTTTTTTGTATAATGGCCATTCTTTGTGGAGATGGAATCTCAGTATTGCTTGAATTTGTATCTCTCAAATGACCAGTGATGATTAGCATTTTTTCATATATTTATTTGCTGTTTCTACTTCTTCATTTGAGACGTATTTATTCATTTCAGATGGACATTTTTGGATTGAGTCTTTAAATTTGGTGGGGTCTGATTTTTTTGAGTTCTTTATACATTAAAGTTAGTCCCTTGTCTGAGGAACAGCTGGCAAAATTTTTTTCCCTCTATGGGTTGTCTCCTCACTCAGTTGATGATTTCTTTTGCTATGCAAAAGTTTTAATAAGATGGAGGAGCTCAAACTTTAATGCAGGTCTTTCTGATCTTAAAGTTCAGGCTCCTTTCAATACATTGTGTTATACCTTACAAAAACTCTGATACAAAGAATAATATACAAGTGTCCTATGAAAGTTAGAAAATGCCCAATGAAATGCACCTTTCTTAATTGGAGTGGGCATGTGTATCTATCTACATTTCTCCTTAGTTCTCTCTTTTAAAAATCATTTTAACAGTTTTATTGAGTTAGAACTTAGATTTCAAAAATTTACCCATTTTAAATGGCAAGTCAATGATTTTAGAAAGTTTATATGGCTATGCAACTATCACTACTGCAATCAATTGCTGGATCAAATGGCAAATTTAATTTTAACTTTGTTCTCTTTTAAAGGAAATATGATAGGAATTTTAAAAAAAGAAGAAAAACAAAATGGTTAAGGGTTAGGGTTAGGGCAGAAATTGAAGAAACTGGGAAAATGCAGAGAAGACCACCACCTACCTCGTAGAGCTATTATAAGGATTAAGGGAGTTAAGACATACAAAGCAGTATAGAACAGTGCTTGTAGCACATGTGCTCAAAAATGTTCATTTCTGGTTGTCCTCTGATTGGACTGGGTGTATTTAGGCTAATGAAAGAAATGAGAGCAACTTTTGATATAAATGACTCTGCTTCCTATTCCATGAACACAAACTCAGAAGCAATGAGAACTGTACATACCTGTCCTACCACATCTACCAATTTACATGCCATAGTCCCTGTCCTCAGCAATCTCTCCTTGACTCCTACAAATAATTCCTTTCTTTTAAAAAAATGTATCTTTTTACTGACACATAATATTCGTATGCATTTATGAGTATGTAATGTCTGTAAGATCAAATTAGGGGAATGAGCAACACTTTTATGTATTGGATACCATTTCCTTTCTCCTATTTGAGTTCTCTATTCTTAAAATTATGCTGCTTTCCCACATTGATTCTCCCTGGCCTATCAATTCAGGTGAGGTCAGTAAATTCTTGTTGAGCATCTACTACATGCAAGGCACTATTCTGAGCACTGATGATTTTTACTAATCTCATGGAGTGTAGTCTAATAAAAAGGAGGATTTCCCTATCAATCCTCTAGTTCACTGGGGTTTATTTATTTATTTATTTTTTTGGTACCAGGGATCAAACTCGGGTCCTTGGGCCTGTGAGGCAGGCGGCAGAACCACTGAGCTAAATCCCCAGCCCCTCACTGTTTTAATTTCATGGAGCGTGTCTAAAAAAAATGCTTAAAAAGAAACCCAAAATCTCCTGAGTTCCCCCTTCCCCTCTAAATACTATCCCGTCTCTTTGTTCCTTCAAGATGTCCTGAAGCAATTGTCTGTCCCTCTGCTCTACTTCTTCAACTCTAACCTTTCGAATCTGGTTATCTGAACTGCTTCCCTGAAGCCTCGGAACAGGGCCGCCCACAGCTCCTTCTTGGCCCATTCCATATCATTGATCTGTCCTTATCTCACTTGACCTTTCAGGAGCATTTGGAACAAGTAGCCACTCTCCTTGAAGTATTTCTGTCTCACACGTTTTCAGAACAGCTCATTCATTTGGTGTTTCTTCTATTTCACATGCAGCACCTGCTCAGTCCCCTTTGCTGGCTTTGCCTCCTCTTCCCAAACGCTAAATGTCGGGGTACTGAATGACTCAGTCCTCTTTCAGCATCTATCTCCCCACCTCTATGTCTTTAAGTACCACATATCAGTTGATGTATCCCAAGTTTGTATTTTTATACGTAAACTTTCTCGAGTTGACGATTTTCATATTTAATTGCCAAATAGACACAGCCACTTTGATACTTCGTACACTTATCAAATCTACTGTGGTCAAAATTTAATGGAAATCCCTACTGCCCCAAATGCTCGGCCCCAATACTGAGAGTGATTCTTGCCACCTCTTTCCTAAGTGCTACTGGTTCAACCTTCCAAATCAATCTGTTGTTTAACTGCCTGTCATTGCAGCCACTTCGACACCCAATCCAAGCTATGTTCACCTCATGGTTAGTAGATTAGTCCCATTTTAAAGCTGGTTCCCTTCTTCTGTTCTTATCTCTCTATAGCCAAGTTATTAAAGAGCAATGATAGACAGACACCCTTTATAAACAGTGTCACTACCCGGCTTATAAGTCTCCAATGTCTTTCCATAAATCTCAGAGGAAATACAAACAAGGAGCTACCTATGGCTTTCCAAAGAAATGCTGGAGACATGCACTCATGGAAATTAAAATGAGTCTCTTGCACCAAATAGGTCATGAGAAAATGAAAGATTAACAGGTCACAAATACACACAAACAAGTGCCTTCTCATGGACTACAAGGTCCCACACAGTCTAGGCAGCAGGCCCCACCTGTTTCTGCAGCCTCATTTCTCTGTCAGTGCTCTAATTCACTGCTCTCTGACAGCACTGGCCTCCCTGCTGTTCCTTGAGCAAGCCGAGCATCAGTCTCTGCCCCATTCTTCTGCCTGGGCCTCTAAGCTCCCTGAATATATGGCTTGGCCCACGGTACACTCATGTTTCCACTTAAACACAATCTCTTCACAGAGGCCCTGTCCAATCATGCTATCAAAAATAGCTTCCCTGATCACTCTCTAGCCTTTTTGTTGTTGTTTGTTTGTTTTAAAGACGGTCTCGCTCACTATGTAGCCCAGGCTGGCCTCAAACTCATGGTGCTCCTCCTGCTCCAGCCTTCTCAGTGCTGGGATTACAGGTGTGCAGCACCACATATATTTCTCTAACCTCTTAACTTGCTCATGCTCCTCAATGAACTTATAAGCATTTGACATTTTATTCACTTTAGTAGTTTACTGTGTTTTTTCTCTCCCATTAAAATATCAGTTCCAGGAGGGTTCTTTCTGCAAAGCTGGCTGTTAGCCATTTGGTAGTATACAGAGTATACCAGACTACTCCTTACAGAGGACCAGGGCTATACATTTGGGAATCTTAGCATACAGATGGCAGTTAAAGCCCTGGGAGCTCCCTCAGGCTGGGGCTGTGGAGGATGAAGAACAAATTCCTGAGAAATACTAATGTTTAAAGGAAAACAGAGTTAGAAGAATTAAGAAAAAATGCCTGAGACTTAGGAGAGAAAGCACAATATTACACTGTTGTGGAAGTCATGTGACAAAAGAATTTCATAAAGGCTTTACATATCAGAGAAAGGTCAATTAAGATGAATATTACAAATTCTCTAGATTTGAAAATAATCTGAGAACCTTTTCTAGAGCTTCATGGAGTGATTTTGTAAAATATAGTGAAAAAAGTAGAAAGTGCTACTGTAGAAAGACAAAGGACTAAAATTTGATGTATTCAGACAGTGGATTCATAGCTTAGTTAACCTAAAACTGCGGAACTAGAGAAGCAGACTGGAGTTACTCCTGGGAAGCATAGAGAATTTTAATTGAAAAGAGATTTTGATACTTTTATCACTAAGGGTAAAGTATGCTAATGCTCATTATTTCCCAGTGATAAAATTACCTTAAAGCGTTTAAATGTTTCAGCCAAGGTCTAACAGCTAATAAATAAAAGAGACAACATTGAATATAGGTCATGTGGTCTTCTAATGTATAGTCTTGTACTTTTTCCAGTTTTTACAGTTTGATTCTCTTTGGGTGATTCAAATAGTAATAATTTAGGAAGAAGTGAAATTTCTATTATTTAATGTTTTTAGGAACATTATAACCTACCTAAAAAAGTTTAGGCTGGGTGAGTAGTTTTTAAGTTGGAGTGTGTGTGTGTGTGTGTGTGTGTGTGTGTACACAGGTATATGCAGGTATGTGTGTATACATGAGGGCTAGCTTCTTATCTCCCCAATCTGGCTTCAAATTGCCAGCCTAATCTGTTATCTGCAGCTATCTGTTGCAGCTATAATGTCAGTTGCTGATGTTTTTATTTTACTTTTTTTTTCCTTTCTGCAGACCTGGTTGTTAAACATTTACTACTATCCATAGGGTATTAACCTGGCATGCTTTTTTTCAAAATATAAACGTTAACTACCTTCCAGCTCCTCAACCAGTATATCAGGATCTACAGTGCAGGGAAGTGGGTGAGCAAGGTGGGTATCTTAAAAAAAAAAATCCCTGCTTTCCTCCAGTTTAAGTAGGAAATTCTATGTAAAGGCAAGAAATAGATTCAAAATTTAACACAATATTATGTTGAATGTGTTGTTCAGGAAAAACTAAAAAATGGTCTTAGGTGCTTAGGTGCATCCAAAATACACACACACATTTTTCTTGTTATATGTCATCTACATACCTTTCCAACATGTCTCTAGTTTCATTGAGAAGTTTAATAGTTGTAATGTCCCTGCAAGAAAGCCCACAGGCCTGTAAAATTAAAATGCCATAGTTCAGGGTTTGAAACATTAACACAGGGACATGGAGAAATCAGTCACATTCACAAACCCAAGAGTTTAGAAAATTTAAAAGTCTATGTTCTGTCAACAATCAAAACCCTCAAACTCAAAAAACCAGTAGAGGCTTATGTGCACAGGCAGGTAGCATTTAAAAATACGAGTCAAAGTATACTTTGTAAGGTCTTTGCTTATTTGGCCCTTCTCAGACAGATTTCTAGCACATATACACAAAGAAAGAAGAAACTATGAGAAGGCCAAGGTCTGGGGCTTTTGCTGTTTTCTTTAACCATTCAGAAATTTAATCAAGATTTTTTTTCATTCATCTACTCTGAGATTCTGTATGTTCATTCAATGTGATGTTTTAGGTTTTAATTCAATTCGGTTAAGATTTGGTTCATCATTCCTCTCTTAACCCATATGTTTGAATTATTTTCCTTCTAGTTCCATGTGGAATTTTAAAATTTGGAAATTGTTTTATGTGCCAGAAAACTTTTAAAATTTTCTTACTGCTTCTTTTTTGGAGTCCTATTTTGTAAGTTTTCTTTCATTAATTCTACCCCACCTGTCCTCCTTTTTAGCCTTTATCTCTCAAGTCACAGGGCTCCCTTACATGAGGTGCAACTGTAGGGTCTCCCAGCACCCAAGGTCATCTTTGGGATCTTCAGGGAATGGGAGGTCTGCAGGCAGCGAAATGACAGCATTGTGGTCTACAGGACCCCCGTGCTGAGGTGTGGTACAGGCTTCGCTATTCTAAGGTTTCTCTTGTTAAAGTGAGAGTCATTCTTTTCCCAAGTGGAATAAAATGTGTTTAATCCAGCTCACAAGTGAAAGACTACTAAATTAAAAATAAGTTCCATAACCTGCAATCTTTGGCATTTTTTATTATTTTTAATCAATGGATAACTTGTATTTGTCTTCTGAAGTCCCCATAAGTAATAAACATGTTTTCCTCAGATTCCCAGCACATAACAAAGGGTCTGCTACATGACTATTAATAAAAATTTGCTGAGTATCTAAAATTAAAAGTGATCCAACAGGAAATCATTCATATGTATTTTGTTTCCTAAATAATTTAGGGTTTAATTAAATTATGGAAATATATGTCTTCCAATCACTTTTCAGGAGCCTCAGAAATCTAAGTTTTAAGAGACAGCAACAAATTTTGAAAACATTAAATAACTGATTTGGTGGAATGGTTCTGAATTAAGCACCTGAACTGCTAATGGAGTTTCTTCATCTGGCATCATATAATGGCATAAAAAAGATTTGGATCCATCCTTGTTAATCCAAGAAGATTTATGCTGCTCAACAAGAGTTCTTATTTCTTTTAGTTTTTGCTCCAAATCCAAAAGAGACAAAGAATGTTTAAGAGAAACACTGGAAAAAAAGAAAAGAAAACTGGAATAAATTTAAACTATGCAACACATGTATCCTTATACACATTCTTTTCTTAACAGGGTACTATCTGAAATTCTGTTTCTTCTGGTCAAACCTAAAACGTAACTGTACTAGGATAGAACAAGAAATTAGCCACGAGGTAAGAGCCATTACTACAGAGCCAAGAAAAACCTTGCTGCAGATTTCGTAAGAAAATTCCTATTACAAATATAGATATCAGTATAAGTAGAAGGTAAAAGGTGCAGAGGCAGATTTCACAATGGATCTTTTATCTCATGACCCAAATATTTCTGATTTGTTTGGAAATTAATTGATAAGCAATGAAACATTAAAACTTTCCCCCAGTGACCCACTTCATTTGAACAATTCTAATTTTTCTTTTATTCATCACAATCAAAAAGTCAGAACAGGCAAAGAAACACAGCTTACCTTCCTAAAATTTTCTGTACAGCTTGTTTAATGACAGTGATCAATTCTGTCAGGCCTATTGAAGGACAAACAAAATTAAAAAACTTGCTCACTTGAAAAATTCCTTTATAATACAAATAAGCAAACTAAGGTTAGTGGAAAGGTTGGGGGAAAGAATCATACCATCTCCAAGGAGGTGCTGAATACTTGACAAGTACTGCTGCTGGACATCTGGGGGAGCAAGAATGGTCTGTACAAAACAGAGATAAGGGAAAGTTAGCTTTTTTATTAATAAAGAAGCAACATTTTCCTGTAACTTGAGGTGAGATTTTTCATGATCTGGAACCACAGGATAAATAAGACTCTTCAGCATATCAAAAACGTCTTTTTTCAAAAGATGGAAAATAATCATAATGCTAAATGTTTACAATCTCAGGAATCATAAAGATGTTTATACCACAGAAATTTATCAGGATAAATAACATTTAGTTAAACTTTGAACTTGGTGAAAGAAAGGTCCAAATGTGCTTACATGTACTAAACTTACAGTGCCATTTTTGCCAACTGCTGCATTATCCAGGTAAATATATCCCCCAATTATGTTTAGCTGTACCCGCAGAAGAACCACCAGCATACAGGTGCTGTATACAGCCACTATACTTCTTGTGAAACCTGCAAGGAGGGGAAGGGGTACTGTTACTAAGACACCAACAAATGTATAAAATCATGAATCATCCCTATGACTATTTTCTCACAAAATGACTTTAAAATATATTTGTAACTGTATCAAGTATAAAAATCAAAAATACACCCATTCAAAATATCTCATACTTAACCCATCTCCTTACAATTTGCTTAGAAGAATTTAAGTGTGATTTCTTAGTTGAAGTGATAACCAGTAAAAATATGTTGGGTAAAAGAATTCTATTTTATTATCTTAGAAAGGAAAACTGGGAGGTTTTAAGAGTTACAGCCTCAACAGTGTTGTCCAAAGAGCAAGCTCAGAAGTGAGAGAAGAGAGCTGAGCTGGAAGAATCCTAGCTTTCCATGGCAGAGAAAGGAAGAGACGCCCAGCAGGGACTGGAGAAGGTGCAGGAAGACTGGGAAAGTCCCAGACTGGGTCTCCCAGCACCAAGGCATTTCGGAATGTCAAGCCAGAGGAGAGAGCAGAGGCGGTGACTGCTGCCAGGAGGTCTAGCGGGAGGAAAATGTCCCAGTGGGTTCAGCAATACAGTTACTACTGACCTTGAGGTAAAAACTTCCTTTAAAATATAATGTTAATGATATTAGTACCTAGTACAAGCATATGTAGTCTAGGACAATTTCTCACATCGTTATTATGAGAACAGCAGTAATCCCACCACCACCACCAACATTCACTGAGTACTTTCTATGACTACATATTGATTCACTTGTTTCATGAGTATTATTTATTTAATTATGATGCCAGCTCTGGAAGGCTGGTAAGAGGCACTCATACACAATACAGTACAAAATTTCCCTTTAGAAATAGCCTAAGGATGGGCTGTTATGTAGGCTTACTTATTATCTTCAGATCCTCCCATATTTCCAGCTTGTTTGAAGGTCTAAAAGAAAAAAATCAGATATGAAAATAATAATCTAGATAAGTTAATAAAAACTTTGAACTTTATAGATTTATATTTAATTTTTAATATTAAAAAAATACAAGTAAGTGAAGAAACAAAGCCCACAAAATACAGCAAGAAACAATTATAATTCTAGTAACCAATAATAGTAACCCTTTTGACTGGTATAAATTCTTCTGTTTTCCTCTCTTTCTGAGCATATGCAGACATGTGCTATAAAACCATAAAGGAAAATCAGGAAAGATGTTCCTTTCTTTCCCTTATGTATCATTTCACAAACAATGAAGTAATCCTGTATATAGGTTACTTTGTTTTAAAGTATCATTATGCATGCTCGAATTTCCATACATATTAAATATGTAATGCACTGCAGTTAAATAGCGCCCTTGGTGTTCAAACTGCTCATCTTTGGAAGGTGATCGGATCCGGCTCTAACTACATCCGTGGAGGAGGCCATTGGTGAGATCACCATTTGACGGCATCACTGGGAGGGGATGGAAAATCGGGGAGACCGAGGTGAGGGAGTGGGCTGTGGCGGACGACCTCAGGGTCTCTGTCTGGCCCCCAGCTCCTTCGCGGGCTCATCCCCTGCCTGTGCTTCCGGCCACCCTGAAGCGCGCAGCTCTGCCCCACCGTCCAGTCCCACGTTCCGCCTCCGCTCCAGCCCACAGCCAGGGAACCAGCCAGCCGCACACTGAAACCGCGCATGCAAAGGCATCTCTTCTCTGTGAGTCCTTTCGCCGACGTATTTGGTCACAGTGAAGAAGGCCTGACTAACACAAGGCCACAGGTTTGTAATTTCACTGACCTTACATCTCACTTTATTTTGCCTAACCAGAAATCTGTGAAACCAACGTAATTACTAGTGCTTGACCCCTCAACCCATGTACATTAGTTGTAAAATTACAGTAGCAATATTAAAAAGGGTCTGAAGTTTTGTTTTGTTAATTGTGTCAGAGGACTATGTATTTCACGGAGGAAATACAGTCAAACTTCTGTTTTAAAGTCACTTAGCATAGTTTCTGTCTTTGTGGTTACAGCACTGACTAGATTCATATTTAGGTTTTTTTACTACTATTTAGCTATTGCTTTTTAAACATGTGAATACACTCATAATTATGTAAAATATTTATATGGTCCTAAAGTCAAATTTGTACAACACAGCGCATTTTAAAAAAAAGTATGTTCTTATCCCTCTTTCTTCTGTCCCTTAGTCACGGTCACTGTTATAAAATTCTCTAAGTCAGATGTGGTGGCGCACGCCTGCCAGCCCAGCAGTCTGGGAGGCTGAGGGAGAAGGGTCACAAGACTGAGCCCAGCCAGAGGGACGCAGCAACTCAGAGAGATCCTGTCTCAAAATACAGAAGTGAGGAAAGGCCTGGGGATGCAGTTCACACAAAGTCCAGGGTTCAACCCCAACACCACACCACATCACCACCAAAAATAATCTTTCCTACCATTTTACTTTATATAAGGAAATACGTATTATTTAATATACTCATATCTGCCCCCTTAAATAAATAGGATACTACAGCCATAAACATACAAGCTTTTTACCATTCTCTGGCTGTGAGCAGAGCCTGGAGCCTCGGTCATGCCCTAGACAGCACAGGCTGAAAAGAGAGGTGGAGTGGGCCCTCCCTACCAGGCAGCAGCACACACTGACTCTCAACTCCAGGGCTCACGGTGGGGCGCCATACTGAGTCTTTCTTCCTCCAGTTCAAGGGACTGAACAAGGGCTCCACGCATACTAGATTAAGTTCTCTACCACTGAGCACCATATTTGTTCTGATTAAATGGAGAATTTACTGCAATTCAAGGTATTTTAATGCAAGTAAATCACATCTTTGGTCACTTCAGAAAAAATTTCCAAGTATGACTAAGATAAGAAAACAACATAGATAAACAGAGGGTGAGGAGTTACGGTGACCTATCTTAAATTTAAGAAATTATCTTCCACAAAAAATAAAAGTGGAATCACATCTTTCCTCTAATCCAGGATTATACATCAAGAATGAAAACTTTTTTTCTCTAGTCTCCTGCACACATCCCTCACTTTTGCTTTTATTCTTTTCCCTCTCCCTCTCTTTGCTTTTATTTTTTTTATAATGGCACTAATATGCCTCGAATTATGATAATTTATTTAGTCTGCTTCTTCCTTTGCCGGTCAAGGCCTTAAAGGAACTTTATCATAATTGTGAGTGGTGGCAATTGAACCCAGAACCTCTAGCAAACTAACATGTGCTCTACCACTGAGCTAAGGCTCCAGCCCTATCTTAACTATCTTGAATCCCTCCAAGCATATGGAGCCTACACCTCAGAGGAAGCATTCAATAAGAAGGAAGACGACCACCATGTTTTTTGTTGTTTGTTTTTTGAGACAAGGTCCCGCTATGTAGTTCAGGCTGGCCTTGAAATCACCACATAGCCTAAGCTGGCCTCAATCTTGTGGCGATCCTTCTGCCTCAGCCTTCTGAGTGCTGGGATGACAGGTGTGGACCACCATGTTTATTATGTCTGCTATGACACTGTTTTTATAAAATTGTTTTACACATACTTTGTCTTGCCTTCCCAATAAAACTAAAACCTAAGGAAATAAAAGTATCTATTTCTTTTCTATCCTATATTTATATACATATAGGTGATAATTAGGTATTTATTTGACCGAGAGCAATTTGCTCATACGTGTCTTCTTCATATAATTAGAGAAAATAATTCATAAGCCAAACTTTACATCTGTAAGGAGAGGTTAAAGTGAATCTATCCTAAGAATGCTGAAATTTGAGGAGGCGAAGTCCCATGACACTGGCATTATATGTAATCAGATAAATAAAATTCTAAGTAGTCAAACTCATTGTTATTTTGGGAAGCATTCTTTGAATATATAAGAAATTATTTCAAAGAAACTTTGTAGCTTGCTATTTAACTTCTCTGAACACTAAATTCCCATATCAAAATGGAGATGATAGTATTTGTCTTACAGGGAGGTTGTGAAAATTAAATGGCAGCATGGATGAACAGAAGGTACCTAGCATAGGTAAGGCCCAGAAAGGATGCTACAAACAGCAGTTAATTCTGTCTGGTTATTTGGCAGGTGATTACAAGGCAAGTAAATATTTTAGTAAGGCTACGATGATTAAAATTCATTTAGTGTTGGGGCTGTAGTCCAGTGGTAGAGCACATGCTTAGTATGCATGAGGGTCTGGGTCCACATGGAATTTTCTAAGTCACCCACCCCTACATATCTTGTTCATTAAAGGAAGTAGCCAGTTTCTTCCTGAAGTCTTCTCAAACTAACGTAGAATTATATTGATTTACAACATCTTGAAGCATACTGGATGTGATATATGAGGTCATATATATGAAAGTGTTTTATAAACTGTCATAGTCATGTAAATTATTAGTAAATTATTAGATACATGTTTGTATCAATTTGCATTTCATTTTGTTGGTAATGATCATGTAAATTCATCACCTTACTTATTTAACATGTTAAGATGCTTTATTTAATACATTTTAAACACTTTAAGAAGCACAGTATTCAACATAAATTTTGTCAGCTTCACAACACCTAGTTCAGAAATTGGTTCAGAAATATATTCTGTAAGTACTCAATTATTAATGATACAAAATTATTTATAGGAAAAACAATGCATACATATTGCCCTAAATGATTTGTGTAATGAGACAGAGCATAAATAAATGAGCATAAATAAAATATTAATTTAGGGACAGAGTCATTTGTATATTTCTGAGCTTATGTGTAATAAACTTTAATGAGAAAGAGAAGAAAACAAAGACTTTGGAAATGTATTTTAGTTCATTCTATACACTTTAAGTGAAGTCCTTAAACAAACATTTACCTGTTTTTTAGCAGAGCTGTAAGGCTCTCTGAATTGAGTTGCTGCAATAAGGCCTCCTTCAGTGTTGGAAGCATGGACAGCACTGTAATACAAACAGAAAATTCAAAAGGTCACAGTAATATTCCTACCCTCACTGAAAAATGCTGATTGTTTTAAGCTGTATGAGAAGACTAGAAACATGTAAGAACTTGGAGGTAATGTCACGCTAGAGAATTGCATTATTGATAGTAATGTAAAACTATTATGGGTTAATAAATCATCTATTTCTTATGTTAACCGAAGTAAGTCACACATACATTATTTGTTTGTCTGTTTTTTTGGTACCTCACGCTTGCCAGGCAGGTGCTATGCTGTTGAGCTACATCCCCGGCCCCACACATACATTCTGATCACAGCAATGTAAACAAGTGCATGCAGGAGAAAACGCAGAAAGAATCCCAGTGGTGGTCTCTGGGCTGTGGATTATGGGTAATTCTTTTTTCCCCCTTTCTTTTCTGTACTCTTCAAATTTCTAACAATTAATGTTTACTTCTGATATAATGAAAATTATCAAAACCAATATTTTTATATTTAGCTATACTTTTCTCATATTTTATTTCTAATTTTAAAAACAGTTATAAGATCATACATAGCAGTAAGTATTTATTGTAACACAGACAAAAGTACAGCAGGCGAGGAATTGAGTGCTGCTGAGTTTTAGTTCTGATTTTGTCAATGGCTACTGCATGTCTATTTCTCTCAGAAACAATGTGAAGACAAAATGAGATACAGTACTCTATAAGAAAGAAGTTTAGAAACAATTCATACGAGTTACTTTGTGTCTCTGCACACTATGCTATAGACATAAACACATATAAATTAAAATGAGTTTCTAACACTAAAATGATAAAATGAAAAAAAATACTTAAAGATTCAACATGAGATTTTCTTACTGTTAGGAGTTTTTTACTACAGTAAAATAAGTTGTTGAAGCAGGAGATCAGGGCGTGGCCAACCGGCTAGGCAAGTGGGCATGACCTGTCAATCACAGAGATCCAGGATACATGTGCCCAAACCTTGCACCTGGGACCAATCAGAGAATGCTATCTTTAATTCTTCTGGTGAGAAATCAAGCAGGTTTCTGACAGAATGGCCCAGATGTGACAACAAAAATCACATGATCATCACAATAGATGCAGAAAAAGCATCTGACAAAATCCAACATCTTTTCATGATTAAAAGCACTGAGGAAAATAGGTATAGAATGATCTTATCTCAATCTGATAAAAGCCATTTATGACAAATCTATTGCCAACATCATATTAAATGGGGAAAAACTTGAAGTTTTCCTTCTAAAATCAGGAACAAGACAAGGATGTCTATTATCACCACTCCTGTTCCATACAGTACTTGAACACTGGCCAGGGCAATCAGGAAAACCAAAGAAATAAAATGGATAATGTAAAGGAAAGGAAGAAATCAAAGTATCATTATTTGCAGATGACATGATCCTCTACATTGAAGACCCCCAAAATTACACCAAAAGACTCTTAGAATTAATAACCAAATTCAGTAATTTAGAAGGATACAAAATCAACACACAAAAATCAATAGCATTCCTATATACTAAAAATGAGCCCACTGGAAAACAAATTAGGAAAAAAATACCATTAACCATAGCATCAAGAAAAATGGCCATAAGTCCAAAATTGATACACAGATTTAATGCAACCCCAACCAAAACTCCTACAGCATTCTTCAAAGAACTGAAGAAAACAATCCTAAAATTCATATGGAACCAGAAGAGACCCAGAATAGCAAAAGAAATCCTGGGTAAAAAGAGCAAAGCAGGAGGCATCAAAATCCTGGCCTTGAAGTTATATTACAAAGCTATAGTGATATAATCAGCATGGTACTGACACAAAAACAGACAGATATAAGGATCAATGGAGTAGAATAGAGGATGCAGAAAAAGCCCCAAGCACATTCAACTATTTGATCTTTGACAAAGGGGCCAAAAATATATACGGGTGCAAAGACAGCCTCTTTAGTAAGTGGTGTTGGGAAAACTGGCTATCCATATGCAGAATATTGACTCTAGACATGTATCTTTCACCGTGTACTAAACTAAAGTAAAAGTGGGTCAAAGAACTAAATGATAAGTAGAAAAACTTAACTGACTATAAGACAAATTAGATAAAACTCTTAAAGTCATAGACATAGACAAGGACCTTCTGAACAGAACACCAGTTTCACAGGAAATAGTACTGACAACAAATAGAATCACATCAAATTAAAAAGATTCCGCACAGCAAAAGAAACAACCAACAGAGTGAAAAGGCAACCTACAGAGTGGGAGAAAAGTTTTGCCAGCTATTCCTCAGATCGAGGACAAATATCTAGAATATATAAAGAACTAAAAAAATTAGACCCCCCCAAATAAATGACCCAATCAAAAATAGGCAAGTGAAATAAACAGTAGAAGAAGTACAAATGGCCAATAAATACATGAAGAAATGCTCAACATTGCTGGCCTTTAGAGAAATGCAAATTAAGACAACACTGAGACTTCATCCCAGAAAGAATGGCCATCATCCAGAAAGCAAAGGCTGTGGGGAAAAAAAAGGAACTTGTCTACACTGTTGGTGGGAATGTAAACTAGTACAGCTGATGTGAAAATCAGTATGGAGATTCCTCAGAAAGCAAACACAGAAACTCCATTAGACATAGCTCTTCCCCTTCTAGATATCTTCTTAAGAGAATTAAAGATATCATCATACAGTGTCACATGCATACCTATGTTAATAGCTGCACAATTCATAGTAGCTAAATCTTGGAAGTGGCTTATATATCAACAGATGAATGAACACAAAAAATGTAGTATTTATACACAATGGAGTACTACTTTGCCATAAAGATAAACTTGCATCATCTATAGGAAAATGGATGCACCTTGAGACTATAATGTTAAGTGAAATCAATCAGATACAAGCTTAAATATTACATGATTTCTATTATATGAGAATCCCAAAGTATAAATAAAGAACAAAATAAAAGACACATAATGGGAAGTAAGGAGGCAAATCTTTCTCAAAGAATAAGGGGATCCAGAGAGGGAGGGGAGGGAGTGAAGAGAGGAAAAGAGGATGAAAAAAGGAATTAAGATGTGTTACGTACATGCACCAGCTCCACACAAGGGATGAAAATATACACTGCAAACATGTACAAGGAAAAATAAAAGGAAGGGTTCAAGAGATGAATGGGGGAAGGGAAACAGAAAGGGGAAGGGGAAAAAAGCAGTTGAGATATATTATGTACTTGTACAAACTCTCCACAAGTAATGTAAATATTATCTACTACAAACATGCACTAATAAAAAATGAAAAAAATTATTTCAATGAAAAGTAAATTAGGACTGGGGATTTAGCTCAGTGGCACCAAGCCTGCCTTGCAAGCACAAGGTCCTGAGTTCAATCCCCAGTACTGAAAAAAAAAAAAGTAAATTAGTAATCAGAACTTCTAAAACTTTTAGTACAATGGGAGCTTTTCCATTTGAAAAATGTGATATTTGCATGGAGGCATTTGAATCCTTATTTTCTTAGAAAATATGAATAATCATTATAATAAATTTTCCTCTATAATTCTTCAAAAGAATGGAATCTAGAATTTTCCCTTTTGATAAGGGAATAAAAAACTAACATGTTATTTGTAAATTGATATTACATAACTAGTGATAGACTTGAAATGCTAGAATACACTATAAGTTGAATCCTCTTTCAGTTATTTTTGAACCTACATTCCCATTGGTTTTCAAAATATTTTAAGTTATTCTTTCCTTTTTTAAGAAACTGCTTCTAATTTTAGGCTGCACTTGTTTTTGTATTGAAGCATAATTCATAGGGGCCGCACTGCTGTTTTTATAAGGCTTCTTATAACTATGCTAGGTATTTTTGCTCTAGTTCTCTAAGCAGGGCCATTTCACTTTTCTGTCACTTCTGAAGTCTTGTCTTTAACTTTGAGGACTATTTTGCATTTGAGTGTTGCTACAAATTAAAAGCCAGTTGACCTCAGGGTATTGTTACCAAATGTTGACAAAGGGCACAATACCTTGTCTGTAGCATGCTGTCATTTCTGGACTGAAATAGTGGGAGGAAAATTTAATTTTCTTTTTCTTTGCATAAATCAGAAAAACTTCAAATGGTAGCGTGCCAAGTTTCCTTGTTGATGCCAGCAAGTGCAGTGAGGTTACAGTTCAGACTGAAGAAATTATCTGAATCTTGCTTTGTTTAGATTCTCGACCTACAGGCAGGATTAACTAAATCACCTTTTACCTTACCACAAGTGGACACAAGCTCCCTCACACCCACGTCCACGTCCATTAGTCACTGAACTTTGTAAACCAGCATTGTGACATTGCAACAATGTTTCACTGCACCAATTTTGTAAGCTTTACAGTGTAATACATGCTTCTCTGAAGCAAACCACAGGTCTATTTCTTAAGGTTCTTGTTGCCTTGTTTAGTAGTATTTGAAGATTTTTTAAACATTTGTAATAAAGATAACTCAGATTGCAAATCCTGTTTAAAATCTTAAATTATGTACTAAAAAATTGTATAGGATCAGTAAATTGCATTCTATAATCCAATACAAATGTTTCTGTAAGCATAGTTACACTGAAATAAAGTTTTAAGAAGAAAAAAAAGGAAAAAGTATCACAAATACCATATTCTAAAAGGGAAACTTTTATTATATCATTTTCACTGCTTGACTAGACTAGACATGTTAATTATAAAATCTGTATTTTCCTATAGAAAATTCAGGTTTTAATCTTACATTCAACATTTATTTTAATGCTGCACTCTGTAGATTCAATATACTGTATTTTCCCAAGCTGCATGTTTGAATTTCCTACATTAGACCACTATCTAAAGTAGAAACTCGGAAACAGTAGAGAAGTTAGCTTATATTTTAGCATATTTGGCATATCTATCTAGTCCAAGCACAATACAATTGGCCTGCTGTATCAGCTAGTTCTGCTTTGCAGACTAGAAATATTTGAAAACACCTGGCTGTAGTAAACATGTACAGATATTGTCCTTGTCAACATTCTCTACAAAATAACAAGTATAACAACAACTATTTCCACTGTATTAGGCATTAGAAATAATCTACAGATGATGTAAAGTATATGGGAGAATGTGTGTAGATTACTTCAGACATTATAACATTTTGTATATGACTTGAACATCCTTGGATTTTGGAACTAATTCCTCATGGATATAAAGGGACAACTATATGTCACTTTATAAAGAAAGAAAGAAGGAAGGAAGGAAGGAAAGAAAGGAAGAGAAAGAGAGAAAAAGAGGGGTGAAGAGAGAGAGAGAGGGAGAGAGAGAGAGAGAGAGAGAGAGAGAGAGAGAGAGAGAGAGAAAGGAAACCAGGCTAAAGTCCTACATACAGAAAATGAGTTAATGAGGAATAAGCTTAAAGATTATGTGGTATAGTAACTTGAGAGGAGTCTTTTTTGATAATTCTTCTGAGAGAGAAGAGATTATTACTCTCCACTTCAGCCTCTTCAGCCAGACAAATCTATTCTCTTCTACACATGCATACATTAACACTGAACAAATACTTTTAATAGAGTTAGCACAACTGGGGATATGGGGCTGCTTCCCCCACGCACTGCTGAAGCACTCCCCTCCACTCACACTGAAGTAGGCTAGAAGAACAAAAGAGAGGCAGAAAGGAGACAAGGGAATCATAACTAATAAATGTACTTTGTGAGAAGACTGCAACTTCCAGGACTTAGCTGAAATCACCCAAGACAGCCCCATGCCAATATTCCTGGGCTAGATTTACACCTCTACCAGACCCATCATTAAAGGCTATACACTGGCTCAGTTAAGAAAGTAAGGTATAGGAGCTGGGCCCTGAGCTAAGGACTGTCCCAGTGTCGACAGTCCTTGGCCGGATGTATACTCCTTCCCCACCAGACCCATCACTAGGTCATACACTGGCCCAATTAAGAGAGTAAACAAAAGGATGAGTGAATTCAGAGAATGTTTAAATCACCTGTTTTTTAAAAAATGCCTGCAAACTGGCTAGAAACCCCCGGGGGGGGCACTTTTTTCCCTAGCTTTTCACTCCCTCAAGGAAAGCATGAGTGTACTCAGTCCCAAACTGCGATGTGCCTCATTTGTCTGAGCACCCACACTCCACTCCTGAGCGCACAGCACTCTCCCTGTCCCCGCCTAATAAACCCTCCTTGTGCCTCTTTCCGACATGTCCTGAAAATTCTTTTCTGTGATGAGTCAGTGAGCCTGCTACTGTGGAGTGGGTCACGTCAACTCCCCTCTGCCCTTGTCCTAAGACTTACGACACTGGAGAAGAGACAAGGAAAGCAAGGATGCCCAGGCCTGCCCTAGAAAATTCCAAAGTTCTAAGCCAGGATGTACGCATGCGCACCGAATCTGCCAGTATGACCTACAGTAACCTTTCTTCACCTGGTGCTCAGTGGAGGCTCATGAATAAGGACTGCATCTCATACATCCAGTTATCACAGAATGAATTATGGGGAAAGGTGATGAAAACACAGGCAAGAGACACAGCTGACATGACTGGAAGACCCCAATGAGAAGCGTCCCAGAACTGGCACAACATTTTCTGTAACTGTACATATGACTCTTTAATGCAGAAAACTTGTTTATGCACTTAATCTAGCACTTAAATGGGTCAGATTATTTTGTTTACAGAAACTTCATTTGTGTTGTCAGCTATGCATATAACATCATTTCGTGTGTCAATTTAGTAAGGAGCCCTCTTAGATCTTCAGTAAAATCCTGAAGAAGATACAGTCAAAGGGCAGAGGTATTCCAACAGGTGGTATCTTTCAAGGTTGGATAAACTTGTTGAGCAAAAAACTAGTTATATTTACCTAAAAGCACTAAATTTTTCCTATCATATCCACTACAGATTTTTATCTAAAGGGAAATAAACTTAATCATATTACTTATAGTCCTATTATCAATGCATAATAGAAGCTAGTTTGCCAAGTTCTTTAGTAATCCTGTACTTTGCCTCCTGGTGATCACCATATGTTATTTTTACTTGTCTATAGTTGGCTATTTGTTTATTTGAGGGCTGTGATAGTGATGGGCATGTGCTACCCCCACTTTCTGCTGGGATGGCGTAGTTAACCAGCAGCCTCAGGTCCCACCCTCTAGTTCCATTACGAGGGCAAGGGCCACACTGCTCTAGGCAGTGTTCTAGGAGTTCTCTACCAGGGAACTCCATTAGGTTTTCCTAGCCTACTCCTGCTACCTCCCACTGTTTTTCATAGACATTTCCCCCAAAGAAATCGCTCCCATCTAATCCCATCCCCACATCTGCTTCCGGAAGGACCCAAACTGACCTGAGGATCCACATCAAACTGAGATGCATTTTGAGACCTTGGGAGCTACCTTCTTCTATTTTCCCAAATCTGAATAATAACCTGAAATGATCACTCTTGGTCTCTCAAAATTCATTAAAACGTCCTGGTAGCATTGTCACATGAAATGCTGAATGTTTATTTAAAGAATCATGTATCGTATAAAAAGTTACCATTTACTGAGTATGTTCTGTGTGCCAAGCACTTTGATTCATTATCTCATCACACTGTCACAAAAACGTTGGAGTTTTGCTGTTTATTTTACAGAGGAGAGAGCTGGGATTTACTGTCTTTTAAACCAAAGTTAGAGATGATGTAATTCAAACTGGAAGCCACACCAGATATGCCTCACCCTGGCGCCCCTGCTTTTACCCATGGTCCTCGGCAGGGCTGTCATTAAACACAGTATTTCTGATTACTCTCTGCTTTACAGAATGCAGGGACTTCTCAGAGTATTATCTCAAATAATGAGAATTCTGACCTCAAGCTGTAATTTTGGCTGTGCCTCTCCCCCTTCTTAATCTCAGCCTCTTTATTTGTAAAATGAGCTAAGTAAATTGACAATAAAGTCCTTTCAACTCTGGAAATAAAGTTCTACATCTAAAGTTGAACAAAGATCATTTACCTTTATGAATTCTAAATTAACTGTTCTTGAAAGAAATATTACAGAGAGATTAAGCTCTAAACAATGAAAAAGAAAAGTCTGTTACAGATTAGAGAACTAATTATTCAAGGGGTTGAAGAATTAGAACAAATAACTCGTTCTCTTAGAATATGGGCAGGTTGATTTCTAGCTCAAGAGTCTGAACTATTACTAGAGTTAACACCGACTGAGCACACACTGTGCTGTGAGACTTGTGTGTCTGCAGCTGACTCCTGCAAAGGCAACAAGCTCAGGACTCTTTCCTGTGACCTGTGAGGGCCTGTAGGAACGGATCCACCTCTGTAGCCTTGGTTCCTACTACTTATCCACTGTTCACTCCTCTTACGCTACATGGCCTTTGGGCAGTCTTGTGAATATTCCAAGCTTGTTCTCACCTCAGGCACCTCAAGCTCCCACCACTGTTCCGTTTGATCTTTTCTCCAGTGTTACCTCTTCAAAGAGACCAGCCTCTCGATTGCCCTCTCTTAAGAAGTATCCTCATTCCTCACACAGCTTTATTGTCCTAACAGCAGCCTTTACTACCCAAAGTTACTTATTGTTTATCCCCTTTACTTCTCAATAAAACATACAACCTGAAATCAGGAATGTTTTTCTTTTTCTTGTTTCTGCCTACTTCCCCTGTGCTGGCCACTGTGAGTATTTGCTGAATAAATAAATGAAATGAATGAACAAGTATTTATATTGATTTTAAAAAACTCATACTAAAATGACATATTTCAGTTAATGCAAATGCTTGGTAGATTTATCATCCTCTGCCTTTTCCTCTAAATTTGGTTGAGGAAATACACAGATAAACACAAATCGACAAGCAACTCTACCAGGCATGGTGGGGTATACCTTTAACCCCCGCAGGCTGGAAGCCTGAGGCAGAAGACTAGCAAGTTCAAGGCCAGCCTGGGCAAGTTAGGGACTTAAGTGAGAACCTGTGTCAAAACACAAATATAAAAACATGAACTGGGGATGCAGTTCAGTGTAAAGGCCCTAGATTCAATCCCTAGTACCTCAAAACAAACAAAAAACAAGCAGCTTCACACATGTATAAACAATTTTCTTTGCCTACCTGTCATATTGCACGTCCTCTGGTTACTCTCAAAGTGATACTGTCGTCGTGCTTGGGCAATGTATTCTGCAGCCTCCCTTTCTTGTATTTCTCTGATTTTCTTCTGTCCGTATTTCCCCAGGATATATACTCCTAAAATAATTTTTGAAACAGAGTAGTATATTAGAGTACTAAAAATCCCAAACAGTATTTTTAACCTTTAAAAAAATCCAATTATAAGGCTTATATTAGGGAAAAATCTAAAAATTACTTTAAAAAAATCTATATTAAATAATTGTTTAAGACTGAAGTAAAGAGGAGAAAGATTAGCAGTTTAATGGCCAATGGCAGAGTAAATGATGAGCACTAAGAGGCCAAAAGCAATTAAATCTAGAAAGTCTAACAGTGCCTTTGATAGTTATCTAGAGATATTATAAATGTCCAGCAAAAGGGAATTTTCTAAATATATTACATTCTATCCACATAATGTAATCTCCTACAACCATTAAAAATCGCATTGTTAAATAATTAATGACTAAAGGAAATATCCTTGTTATATTGTTAAGATGATATAATAGGAAGCCAGAAGGTTTTTAAAAAAATTTTTTTATTAACAGCATGGACACGATGGTTTTAATTTCTTTTCTTTCCTTTTCTTTTATGGTGCTGGGGATCAAACCCAGGGCCTCATGCATGCTAGGCAGGTGTTCCAGCACTGAGCTACATCTCTAGCACTCTAATTTGTAATATATAATAAACAAGGGTCATCGATGAATGGTAACAAGTGATTCTTTCCCTTTTGTTTGCTTCTCTATAACTTCTATATTTTCTTCAATGGACATATAATATTTTTAAAAACTACAGGGCAAATTTTTAAAAGGAAGAATGAAAGAAAGGTAGGCAGTCAGGCAGGTCTCTATTTATTCATCTGTGAGTTAGAAAAATCTCTGAGAAAAGAGAGATTTTCTTAGACCATCTAAAAACTAGTAACTTAATTCTAATCGGGAGGAAGGAGGCATATGGAACACTACAGCATCAATATAGGTGGTATCACGTGGCCTGTAACTTAACACACTTCGGCAGAGACAGTATGACATAAATGTAACATTTTGGTCTGTACTCAAAGTGGGGACAGTCAGTTGTCATAATTGGGAACGTGAATACTCTGGTGTTAGCATTTGAAAAAAGATACACTCTAAGGGTTAAGTGCTTCAACATAGCTTTTATCTCTGATCAGCACCGAATATTAGTATAATGAATATCAGAAATGGACTTTGACAGATTAAATTAGTGGTAAAAGATTTGGACTAGCTAAAACAGTAAGGTGATATTTATATGAACTTGCATATGTACATGTATCTATCAAGTCTTCCCCTGCTAGGAATGGCTCAGCCTGGGATCCTGAGGCTTCAGGACTCACATGACTCAAACGACTTGAACCAGATGGCCACCAGAATCCTGCAGCTACAGTACTGTTGCATTTGCTGTTGGTGAACCTTTTATCCACAATTTTGTCATAGTGCCACGTAAGGGCAGAACGCAGTGAGCTTACAGAACAGGCTGTGTTACTATTTCACCTTTGTTAGTATTTTCATGTGTGCCAGAGCTTGGTTTTATCCCACCCGCCTGACTGCCTATGGCCCACAATATTGTCAGAAAGAACTTAAAAGCCATTCACAGAATTGGATTTGGTCTGTGTCCCTCAAGTGAGGAGGGGAAGACTTCTAGGAACTGCTAAACAAGCACATACCTTACTTTCATGAACGCAGGTGTTGTCAAACTAATACTTCTTAAAAATAACAGCTCAATAAAAGCATCTGGTTTAAAGTTAGAAATGAAGCATTATTGTTGGAATGCTAGCATACAAATAAATGTATTATATCATGCTCAAAAATAAAAAGTTCACATAAGGGGCTTCATGGCTACATTTCCTGTAACCCATCCTAAATAAACTGCTGACAGTGCCACGGTACAAAAAGAGTGAAGAAACTGACTTATATTTCACAATGTGATCCTTTTGTCAGGCGACTCTGACACAATTAGTTTCACATAAGTTGCTCATCTTATTTGGTAACACACTACTGAAAGTTATGTGTAAAACAATGATCATCTCTGGAGATACATTGTAAAGTGAAATGCTGAAATGACACCTGTGGCATAACAGAACTTTTCTGGAGGAATATGTAAATTTGATGGTCATGTCTGTTTTCCTGGGGAAAAGGTCTACTGCCTCTTTCATCAGATTTTCAATAAATCTGACAATGTTTTTTAGGCACTATTATATGTGTTTGATAAGTGTAGTATATTCTAACTGAAGCTAAAACCCGAAATGGATTGTTAGGAGTTGAACTGTGCCCACTCTCCCTCCCCCAAACCCCATGTTGAAGCCCCAGTACCTTAGAATGTGACCTTGTTTGGAGATAAGGTCTTTACAGAGGTATTCAAATTATGAAATGAGGTCACGAAGGCGGGACCTAAACTGACATGACTAGTGAGTGACCTTACATGAAGAGGAAATCTGGACACAGACACATGTAGAGGGGAGCCAATGTGAACACACAGAGGAAACGACCATTTACAAACCAAAGACAGGCTCAGTACAGATCCCCTATAATGTGTAGAAGGAACAAACCCTGTGGTCACCCTGATCTTGCTTAAGCCACATGGAATTAGGCAAAAATCCTAAATCCATGAGTTTTGTTTGGTTAACACTGAAGTTCCCACACAAAGTTTAGTTCATCCAGACTCTCATACCCAAAATTTATAAATTCTGATTTTGTCAGATTATCTTACTAGGAAAATAAGAATGAGGGCAGAAAATCGATCAGTTAACATATATAGGTCAGGACTCTACATCTGACTGGGAGCCTGAATTGTGACCTGGAAAACAGGAGATACTGATGGCTCTGGCACAAACTACTTAGGTGACTTTTGAGCAGGTTCCTTGCTTTCTCTGGATCTAAATTTCTTCATTCATAAAATTAAAGATCGGGATTACTTGACCTTCAAATTTTCTTCTGTTGGTATAACTTTATTATGAGTAATGAAACACTAAATACCCTCCCCAAAGTAAAATATTTTGAGGTTTCCTTTCAAAAAATTGTTGGTAAAGCAAAATATCCTCTGGTGTTTCCACAGTTCAGGTATTTTAAAACTATCTCTTATTGTACATAGTGAGTTTAAGGCTACCCTGAACTACACAGTGAAACTGTCTCAAAAAAAAATTACAATTTTTACTAGGTTAAAAATTTCACTAACAGAAATTAACATTGTTCCCAATCCAACAGATCCCCAAGTAATGTTATTCTGATTCTATATCACAAACACTTTTCTTAATTTGTTACTTTTCTAACCCCTTTATCATAGCGTTCATTTAGATCCTGAATTAATGCTTTTGAAATAAGCTGTTAACAGCTTCCTAACTTTTCTCTTTTGTTAAACTCTTACCGGTACACGTGGAGAACTCAAATATTTACCCAATGAATTAAGAAATTCTTGAACTGCACTCCAGACCCAAAGGATCAAAATCTGGGGGAAAGGATTTCCTACTTTCATTAAGTTCTTTAAGTATTTCTATTCATACTGAAGTCTGAAAAGCACTGATAACAGAGGCTACTGTGAACATTATGCACCATGGGGTAGTAAGGAAGGCCTTGCATAATTCGCCTTCTAACTACTTGTCCAAATTAATTTTTTATCACTTCCCATGAACTCAGTCATAGTGAAAGATACTTTGATTGATCAAAAGCAATGTTTGGGAGCCTCTTGCACATCTCCTTTTTGTTTCCTGCCCTGTTGTCCTTTGCTAGCTTTACAACTTAATGCAAGTAGAGCTTCTTCCTCTATAAAGGTTGCCAGTCATACCCATGCTCCTCATCCCTCAGTGCCCCACAGCATCCTGCTCTATTTTTGCCCTATCATGCTACCATTGTATTACTTTTCTTTACTGCCATTTCTGCTTTCCAGGCTGTTTCGGATCTTCACAGGAACAAACTTATTCCTTTGTGTTCACAGATCCCAGTACAGTGAGAGTAAGTATATACTTATTCAAATATTTGTTGAATGAATGAATAAAAATTTTGAAGAGGCCAGAAACTACAAGGTTTAAGATCTAAATCCTAAGTAAATGTTCTATACTTTTTTTAAGTCAGCAGGCCAATAAATACAAATATGATTGCTCTTTGTCCTGTAATGCTTCTTGTAGTAGTGAAATGTTTCTCAAAGTACTGTTTGGGTACCCCCTGAGAGCTTTAGGACTATCTTAGGGAATCTGTGAGGTCAACACTATTTTATAATGATACCAAAATGTTATTTGCCTTTTTCACTCTCATTCTCTCATGAGTGAGGGTACAGTTGAGGACCACAGAGGATATATGCTGTGTGGTATTACAAGTGACTGCAGAATAGATATGAATGCCCACCTTTCTTCAGTTAGGTCAAACAGTAAAGAAATTTGAAAAATATAAAATAACGCCACACTTTCCATTAATTTCTTGAAAATGTGTTATTTAGGTTAATTTCAATGAGTTTATTATTGCAACTTTAAGCGATAACAATTTTGAAAAATTCTTGTATATAGTATCACATACAATAACTAGTAATAGATAGTTTTAAAAAGCTCTTTAGGATCCTTACTTTAACCTCAGATCAAAAAATCTGAAAACCACTGCTCCAGTCTTCTCTCAAACTGGTCGAATTGTACCAGTTGGTCTAAAGCAATTACCCATTCAAAATGCAGGGAAATAGTCCTACTTAAGAAGGCCTGTAACTCAAAGTTTTACTTCGTTTTGTTTTTTTTTTCACCATTGGATGGCCACAGTTCTTTAAGCATGTACATTCATAGCTCACTCGGCCTTTGAGCCTGTCAAAAATGTGTTGCTTCTTCCATGAAGTTTTTCCTGATTATTTTTACAACTGAATACGCTATGTGCCAGTTTGATCTGTATAGTACTTTTTAACTTCTCTAATGGCTTTGTATTTTTATTATTTGAACATTTATTTTTCTTACCTTTTAGACTATGAAGTCCAAGATGGCAACATGGTTGCATTGGAATTTGAATTTCAGCTTTTCTATTACTAACTTCGGGACGCTAGGCAAGTTTCTTAAATATTCTGGTTGAATTCTAGTTCCCACAGTTTTGAATAGGATAACCCTAATTATCTGTTGTCATCCCCAGTGAATAGAATGAGCTTAGTACAGTGCTCAGCATACAACAGAATGAATGACAGCTATGACTGTTTTTAAAATCTGTTCATCTTCAATCATATTTCCTTTAGCATTACTGGAATTTAATAAATATTTCCTAATGTGATAACAGTTTCCTCCTGAAGTAGAAATAATATGAGGCTTAAAGAAATGCTATCTCTCTCTCTTCTAGAAAACAGCAGGACTTCTAGTCCTCTGAATTTTTTTTCATTTCTCATAATCTGTAATTATAAAGCTCTCATAGATTTCTTAAAAAAAATCTATGACTATGTTTTAAGTATAGTCTTTTTCTTCCCCTGTGATTATTTTTGACCCTACCATTAGGTTTGTTTTTCTAAGCTTTAAGGAGTATGTTATTACCCCTAAAATTGCTAAAGATAATTTTCCTTCCTTCAGGAGTGGCAAAAATATTTTACTTAGATTCCCACCACACATATATGTGTAGCTTTTACAAATAAAATGGACTGTGTAGTCTTAGCGTAGCCTAAATATACTTTAGATATTAGAAGGATGGTAATCTTAGCACTTAGGAGGCTGAGGCATGAGGATCTCAGTGAGTTTGAGGCTAGACTAGGCCATATAGTGAGTTAAAGGCCAGTCTGAACTACATAGTCAGACCTTGTCTCAAAAAAAAAATACCCAAAATAAAAATTAAAAAATTCCAGAAACTGAAGGTATCATAAAATACATTTTATCTATAAAGAATTTCTCAAAGGTAATCAAATTCACATATCCTCATTATCAACTTTTGTTAGACCCAGAGACATGTAGAATACAGTCCTTGCCTCCTTCAGGACCCTATCTCAGACTTTTAAGAATCATCACATCTAAACCACTGATGCTAATGGTATTGTTAGTTTCAAATTCGGCGCGGGGGGTGGGGTGGGGGGAGATACAATATAATCTAACAGTAAGAGAAAAGCAACTAAGTTCTTTGGGAAACTTCTGTTCTTGACTTTTTAGTACACTGGACCCTTGACTTACTAACTCAATCGGTTCCCCAGGGCTGGTTGTAACTCAAGTTGGTTGTAAGTCAATACAGCTGAGATCTGGATGTTTACCGGGGTACATACTATAGATAACAAGAGGCAGATGAACCTTCCATGAACTTAATTAACCTGAGTTGTCTGTATGTCAGGCGGGTCGTAACCTGAGAGTCCACTATACTTCTGTAATCAAAGCATATAGCTAGTGATAAACAAGTATCTCAACAACTCAAGGTCTAAAAAAAACTCCTGAAGACCCTAGATTCTTTCTGTGTATAATTCAAAAGGCTTTTTATTGTCCAAATTCCTAAATGTTACAACGTGATCGTCATATTAAAGAAAAAGGGTCTCAAAACTTCTCTGTTTCTAAACTCCTGTTGGCCTAGCGACCTCAGTTACATGGCTGGATGGATAATTATCTCAAATTTGACAATCCCGGGAACACTGCACAAGATTCCAATCCTGAGCATTTTCTTGCTGCATAATTTATGTCCTAAAATGGTAGAATCAGAATGAAAATATTGCTTTCTTTCCCGTTACCTAGTCTAGATCTTCCGGACTCTCAATGCAATGAGGTGGTGCCAAAAAACTACAGTTTAAACGTCATCCGAAGTGCAAGCTTCCGATAACTCTTAGAACATCACGAAACTACCGCGAAGGGTGAAAGCCAAGCAGAGTACTGGGGTGGCCAGGAAGAAACGCGGGCTCTCAAGGGAAGGCGAGAGGGTCAGAGCGTGGGCACCAGGCACACGAAGGGTGCAGCCTGCAAACAGAAAGCTCGCGCGGTCGGGGGCCCGGCACCGGGCGGGAGGGAAGCGCGGAGCCCTGGGCTTCCCCCGCCCCCGCAACCCGGCCCGGGTGGCCTGGCCGCTACCTCTCAGAGCACAGTCACCCCTTTCCTACGCCTCCCCCTCCCCAGTGTCCCTTTCCAAGCAGCTGTCACCCACCGCCAAGCACCGTGCCCAGGAAGATGCATTTCTTTTTGTGACGTTTCAGAAAATTCCACGTCGATCTCAGCATTTTCGGGCCCCGGGGGGTGGGGGCTGCCTGGGATGAGGGGCCGGGTCACCAGGACGCCGTTTCTCTGTCGCATGGGCCGGACGACCCGGCAGGGGCGCCGCCGTCCCACTAGGTGCTCCCCACAAACCCCGAAGGCAGCCGCCTTCCCGCAGCCGCTGTCACCCGAGCGAGAAGGGGGCGTGGACTACGGAGGAGCAGCTGCGCTTTGCGTCCCGGAGTCCGCCGCTGCCGCCGAGGCTCACTGGGCCGGAGCGCCCAGGTCCGTCCGAAATCGCTTCCCGGTGCCCCGTCCCTCGACTTCCCCCCGGAAACGACGCCTCACTCGCACTGCGTTCCGCCCCCGGCGCTGCTCTTCCGTCTCGGCGTGGAGGGCGCGGTATGGAGGCGAAGGCGGCTCCCTCGGCAGCTGCGGGCGGATCGCGCACGGTGTCGGCGGAGGAGACTGCAAAGTGGATGGAGGAGGCCATGCGCATGGTAAGCACCCCGGGACGGGGACGCCGAGGGAGGAAACTGTTCCCCCCCCCCCCCCCGCCGTTCTAGGCGCACGTCCCGGCGCTTTCCCGTCACGGGTCTCCGCGGACAGCGGGCTTTACTCTCCCGAAGTCCCCTGTACCCCATTCTCACGCGACCCTGGGGGAGGAAAGGTGACCGCACGCAGAAACCGTGCGTGTGATCGCTGTGATGGGCGCGCCGAGTGCAGCCCTTCGGCCACTTGCTCCACGGGCTGCCTCCCTCCCCTTCCTGTGGACTCAGACTCTTCAGAGTCACTTTATTTTGTGGGGGTTTTTGGCTCCCTTGAATATACCTGGTAGAGAAGGAAGGGGGCTGAAGATGTTGCTGGTGGACAGCAGTAGGAAAACGCGTCCCCATACAGCCAGCGCCCTCCCCCGTGCATCCCCGGGGCTCCCTCTGTCCAGCGTCCTTCCCTGGCTGCCCCGCGGGCTGAGAAAGGCGGGCTTCCCTCCGTGGTGGTGTCATCCCGGCTTTACCCGCACTGGGGTGAGCCGCTGAGCTGCTTACCAGGAGGAAAGTTTGTATGGCGTGTACAGCACGTGCACGGCCCACGGGGTCGTGTTCTGGAAACGCCTGCCCTGGGGACTTGGACATCGTGGGAACAGCATCGAGTTCTTCCGCAGAGCGAGACGGTGCAGCCTCCAAAGGCCTCCTCAGCATGGTACGCAGCCAGTTCCTCCCAGGCTGTGAGCCTGTGCAGCGTTACTGTAATGGATGCTGCACGCCACTGTAACACAGCGCTTGGGATTTGTGTATCTAAATATAGGATACACAAAGTGCAAATGTAGTATAAAAGTGTCTTTGTGTGTCTGTTAAAGTGGCACGTCTGTACAGGGCACTTGCTGTGAAAGGAGCCTGGTGGACGGGAGGTTGCCTGTGTAAGTCAGCGAGTGGTGAGAGAATGAAGGCCCTAGACTTTGTAAACACTGGCTACTTAGGCTACACGTTAGAAAAAAACGTTTTCTTTCTTAAATAAGTTAACATTAGCTTATGATAACTTTCATCTTTTCTTTTTCTTTTAAAAGTTTCTTTGTTAAAAAGCCGAGACACAAACACGCACATGAGCTAGGCCTACACGGGGCCATGATCGTGAATCACCATCTTCCACCTCCATACCTCATCCCACAGGAAGGGTCCTCACGGAGCTAGCATTTCCTAGGATGGCAGTGCCGTCTTCAGCAGTCCCACCTGAGGGACCTGCCTGAGGTTGTTTTATAGTTAACTCTTCATATGTATATATGGAAGTTTACTCTAGAATAAGAATAAAAGGCATAGTACAGTAAATACATAAACCAGTGACATAGTAATTTATCACTAAGTTTTATGTAGTGTGCATAATTGTATTGCTGTATTTTCATGATGCTAACAGCATGGTGGGTTCGTTGCCACCAGCATCACTACAAACACATGATGCCTCATGATGTCCTTAGAACTATGAGACCCCTAGGCAGATATTTGAGCTCCATTATAGTCTTGTGGATCTGTATATCGCATTTGCAGTCATTGTTGACCATTTCATCTTTATACATCACATACCTGCATATGAATGCACATATATACATTTATATACAGATAAATGCATATCCATATACAGACATTTCTTGTAGAATGACCCAAGTTAACTTCCTGCTACTAGGTCATTAAATGAATTGGTTGTAAATGAGGAATTGTATATAGAATGTACATTACAATATTCAGAACAAAGAAATGGTCAAAGGAAACTCCAATTTGATGACTTTGCTTTTATTTGCCTCTTACATGTAGTACTGTAATGTGTAACAGAACATAAAACTATAGCACTGTACACTACAGTACAATCCAGAAAAAATTACAGTACTCTACTGTAAAAGAAGCCACCATAATGCCACACTCCTGCTCATGCTCTTGCATTGTAAGTCCGAATGTGGGTCCTAAGTCTGAACAGATTAACGACTAGTTGTTAACCATGTAGGTCATTCAACAAGGAATATCTATACACACATATATTTACATACACATACAGTATATGCATTTATACATACACACATAAAGATATATGCAATTCCCTTTAGTTTTTCATTTCTCTGATACTACTGTAAAAAAGATCCTTTCATACATGTTTATAATTATGCCTTTCTATGGCCTCTGGTCCGCTGTAGTTAATTAATTCCATAATTTTTTCACTCATTCCTCAAGTGTTTATTGAATACACTGTGCTTGGCTTTGGGGCTTCATTACTGAGACTAATTTTGTTCTGTTCTCTTACTAAAATAATCTCTCACATTATTTGCCCTGCATTTATTCAGTATTACAGCCAAATACTTTTCAGTTTCTAATGTAAGCTGTGATGCATTAGAGCATGTATCATAGTTCTTTTGACTTATATAGTGTTCTTTTAAACTTGCTTCTCATACCTTTAAACAAGTGTCCCACAGTGAAAACAAAATAAAACTTTTATATTACAACTCAGAAAATAAATATAGGTATAATCTAAACAAAAGTTTTACAGTGGAATACTTATCCTTCCTATATATAGTTTTCCTGGCATTTTTATTTTACTATGTTTCAGAAAACATTATTGTAACCTATTAACTTGATACCATGACTCATTCCTTTTTTATTTTCCTCCCTTCTATTTTTTATTCTTTTATTAGTACATGTTTATAGTACATAATGAGTCACATTCCTTGTGGGGAGTTGGTACATGTACATAACACATTTAACTCTTTCTTTTATTTTTGTGATCCCTTCTCCTCTCATGGCTGTGTGTATCAGAATCATGTTTTCTTTTCCTCTTTTTATAGGTTTTTACTTTGCTTTAAGAATGTTGTCATCCTGCTATCTTAGAGCATTTCATCTACCCACTTCTACATTTCTTTATTTAGGCTTAGGGACTAAACACTTAAGTCCTTTAATGATGTTTTGGTGTGATCTTAGGCAAGTCACTTAAATCACTCCACAGTTCCCTTTCTAGTCTATCAAATGAGATGGCTGAACTTCAGAGAATTTGTAAGACACTGGCCTTTTGTCTTTTAATTGGATTATAAACGCCTGGGTTTGTGATTACACAGTTTACCTCCTGTTTGGGATTAAGGAGGCCCTTAGTGGTTGCCTTTTTGGTTTTGGCCTATGTATATTTCTTCCAGGCTTTAAAAAAGGGAAAAGTTCTCACCACAACTTGTGTACTTTGTTTCGCAAAGAAACTTCAAATCTTAAATTTAAAGAATAACTTCTGATAAGAATTTAAGATTAGTCTAAGAGTATAACTAGTGTTAAAGCCAGAGGCAGCAAGTCCATCTTCGACTAATTTGTACTGAGGATTTGTTTGTTCGGAGATGGGGCCCCCCAGTGTGGCCCAGGCCGGCCTCCAAGTTGTGATTCTCCTGCTTCAGCCTGCATGTAGCTGGGACTACAGGCATACGCCACCACTCCTGACTCTACTGAGCATTGGAAAGTGAAATCGCCACTGCGTGTGCGTAATGGGGAGGAAGGGGGCATCTAAAATATTTCTATCTTTTTAAAAAATAAGTTTTTAAAACCCCAGATCTTAGTTGCTTTCCCATCACTGGGACACAATACCTGACACCAGCAACTTAAAGGAGGAGAGGTTTATTTTGGCTCAGTTCGTAGAGGTTTCAGTTCACAGCCAGCTAGCTCCAAGGCAGGCAGCATGGCAGAGGAGAAACTGCCCATAGCATGCGGAGGGAAGCAGAGAGATCAAGGGCAGAGCGTGGGGGAGCTGGGGAGACATAGAGCCTGCCGGGCCACGCCCCCACCTCCTCCCACCGCGCTTCCCTCCCTTCATCACAGTTAGCTATAAACCCATCAGTGCACGAATCCACTCTGAGTATCAGGGCCCGCGCGTGATCAGTTACCTCCCACAGCCCCACCTATGAGCTCATGAGGCTTTGAGAGGACATCCAGATATAAACCCACAAGCCTGGGTTATAAAAAGGAAGGAAAAGGGCTCTCTAGAAAACTGGAAATCTAGTTTTTAAAGAAACACCATCTAAAGTCAATGAGACTCCAGAAGTCAGTAGAGCCCTACTCATCTAACAGGTTCAACAGTTTTGGACAGCAACTTAGCGCATGCACCATATGACCCAGTGGTACCACTGCTTATGAAACCTGGTTAGAACAGTGAGAGACCACAGCTGTCATTTCACTGTTAAACATGACGGTGGAAACCAGGAAGCCTGCGATTTTTAACACTGAACAAGCAGATACAAATGACGTTATACTCTACATTAGGTGTAGAGGTTAGCTGTGATCAGACCAACCTTGACAGGTTGCCTCGGCGTCTGCATCTGTATATGAGACTATAATATCTATTTCACGGGTTGTAGGGGTTAAATGATCTTTGTAAAGTGCTTCACAGAATGCATTCAATAAATAAAGTTCTTACTTTGGCTTAGTGAATCAAACCAGAGGAAAATTTGCAAAGATAATTAGATAACATGATAAAATTATGGGTGATTTTTTTTAAAAAGTCATCAGTATATTTTTATGACATAAATCTGATTGAGAAGATAGGATTAAAGATTAAGCCAAATAAAAGCAAATAAAACTATAAGAGAATTAGAAGTAAATAAATGGTATTTGTATAGTATTGGAATAGAGAGGGACTCTTTATATCAAAGTCAGGCATAGTGTCACATGCTTATAATTCCAGCACTCAGGAGGCTAAGGCAAAGTATCTCCATGAGTTACGGCCAGCCTGGGCTACGTATTGATGACCAGCATAAACTACACAGTGAGACGATGTTTAAAATAATAACAATGGGCATAATAAATAATAAAATAAAATATGCCACCAAAGGACAGAAAACATGACAGAAAAATTGTTAGGTTTTCATTAAACTTTGAAAACATCTATCTGTTTAAAAGGTAAACTGCAAAATAATAGCAAGTGGCAAAAAAAAAGAACATTTGCAACATAAATATAGAAGGGTGTTTGATAGCTTTAATGTATAACTTATGGACATGTATATAATATATAGTCTATATAAAATGCAAGCACTCTCCAAACTAATAAGAAAAGATGGATGAAAATATGGAGAATGTCAAAGGATATGAACAGGATATCTCTAAAGGAAATGACAAGTAGCTGACAAATTAGTACATATGGCATTTTATTAGTAATAAAATTCAAACTAAAAAGAGATATAATTTGTCAGCCATTAAATTAGCAAGACAGAAAAAAATATAATGCCCATGGGAATAAAGGTGGGGCAGAGAAGGTTGATTGTAGGAGCTGAATGCAGATGCCCTTTCTACAGGGCAGTTTGACTGCACAGGTAAAAAGCCTTCAAAATGAGCTTAGCCTTTGACCCAGTACTGCCCTTTGCCTTTGACATTTTTTCCCAAAATGAAAGAATTTAATTTTCTTTTCTGATTGCATAAATAATTCAGTCATACAAAATCCAACTATAAACATAGTTGAACTAATTTTGTGACTATTACCTAACGCCCTGCTGTCAGTGGACTGTTAACGTGTAAACAGCGCAGTTTCGGATGACAGCATAGCAAACAGTACTGTGCATTACAGAGCTTTACATGGCACATACGTTTGACCTTTGCCTCACTTTGGGTCCTCATTGTAATTTCAGTTCTAACATTTTGGGAATACTCTTCTGTATGTCTCTGTCCATATGTATACTTTCATTACAGTTAGAATGACTA